AGATGGAGCTATGGAAAGAGACCATGTTAAGAAAAAAAGGAAAGAAATGTACAGATATTTACTACAGGTGTGAGATAGATATATGCCAAGTACCTTAAATCATGATCTTTTTTAATCGTCACTCTGATTCTCTGGGGACAGAAAAGGGTTCTGTTTTTCAAATGAAGAAACTAGGATCCAGAGGGATTTAGCACTGGGATACGAACCCAGGCCTCTCTCGTGCGTGTGCCCTCCGTTTGCCCTTGACCCTGTTGTTGCTGTTTCCTTAAGTCTGGGGATTCGGCTAACATGGCTGAACCACTGAACCACCTGGCGATGCTGGCTAGAGGTGTTTGCTTCGTGTTATCCTTTTGTTTCATGCTTGATCTCAAAAAGGAGACATGTGTCAGTAAGCACTTTCCTGGAGTTCCTGCTAGTTCCCTCTCGATCTTTGGCCTATGCTCATTTGTTGGAGATATTTCCAGGTAAAACCTCTGGAGGTCAGTTCATTATCACTTACAGCTGGTAATGCCTGCAGAGTAAGTAAGAGAAGCGAAAACTAAAACCTGTCCCGTTTTCATGCAATGCTGATCTCTGAAGTGTGAGATGTCTTCCCTCTGGCCCTCGCTTCTGCTGCTTCTTTCCCTGAAGACCTTGAGTGTCAACATGCTGTGATGCCAGCTCAGTTTATTCACCACTAGTAGTCTAATTTACATGTCATTTACAAGGCAGATCCTTGAAAAGGGACTCATATAGAAAGATTGCAGTTCTTAAGCCTTTGCTGTGTTTCCAGAGATATAATGATGAGTCTTGACATGTTTCTGATTTTTCTGATTACACCCAACCTAATTACACAGATCTCTTCTGAAGTCGGTCTCACATCTTTTCTCTCTCTCTCATAGTGCCCATGTCCCAATCCCAACATTCTCCTCAGAAAGATCATATTTCCTTCCTTAGGAGTCTCCCAGATTCCAGGCTGTGAACCATGCATGCTGTCCCATAACCCCTGGATAATTTGGATAATGTCAGGAGAGAATAAATGCAGTTCCATATTTTTTTTTTGTCTGCTGACTTGTGATTATGATGTCATGCTGCTGATCTTACTTCATGCTTGTTGTCGCAACTGATTACTTCCTTAGCCCCCAGCAGTTTCTTGGAATAGTGACTGCCTATCCCAGCCGCCCTCGTGTACAGCAGACACACTTTGCTATAACACACTATTAGAGAACTCTGCATTTTTTTTAACTTTCTTTGAAAGCAACATTCATGGCAGAAAGTCAGCACAGAGTAGACCTCTAACACACCAATTTTGAAGCTGTTTTGAATACTGTAAGATTGACAATAACTGAATGGCATGTAGCTTAAGTGATTTTGTTTTGTTCTTTCCTACAGGTCTGGGACCTTGACACTGGCCTCCAAATTTACCAGATTTTAGACCCTCATGGATTCAATATTGAACTGACTTCCGCAGCTATTGATGAAACTGGATTTCTTTTTGCCACAGGAGCCTATAATGGTCAGATTAATGTGTAGAATAAGGCCTATTGCTTTAGTCCTGTGGACTTTTTACTAGGACACATTATTCCTTTATGTTAGAGGGAGAGTGTGAATCATGCTGGCATGTTCTCTGCCTGATGGAGCTGACCTCATAAGACTCCTGTAATGTACACTGATGTCCTGTGGATGTTCACAATCATCAGTGCTTTCCATTATGCTTATTTCTATAGTTGGCAAAAGTATTTCACATATACCATCTCACTCTATCTATGTTGGACTTTATCTGTGTTGCACAAACTCAGTCTACCTTCTATTTTGTATACCATCAACTAAGAGATAGAACTTAGATTTGGTGCATTCTGATAGTAGATTTTTTGGACCAGACAAAATACCCAACTGACTCTGCTATATCACGGCTAGAATTCTATTTTATACTTGTTTATATGCGTAAGCTCCTTGAGGGTATGTAGCATGCCAGGCTCATGTTGTGACATATCACTTGATGCTCCTTTTGTTGTTGAGTATGGGTCTTCTAGGAACTACAGAGTAACAACCTGTGGCATTATTCGCTTAATCTTGTTCTGAACTCCCATGTAAGATCTGCTATGATACTACTTTCACATGCAGAATATTATTATTGTGGGGATATATTTTCAAAATAATTCTTGCTCTTAAGTCAATTAATGGATTGAGTGAACAACCTGAAGGGGAAATCTGATTGTTTCTTATCATATGGCTTTATTTCAATCATTCATTCATTCATTCATTCACATTCATGGTTCACAACACTGTATGTGATTTAGAGGCATGACTTCAAAGATAAGAAGAAATGTGCTATCTCTTCTGCACATTCTTTCCAATAGCACCACCAAAAAAATGTAAAACAATATTTTCCTCCTGCAGGATTTCTACTAAATCTTTTATTATAAAATAGAGCTCAAGTCCTAAGATAAGTCGAGGCTTTAGGAAAAGTGACATAATTTGAAAAATATTTGGTATTAAATTGTAGTTAGACACACAGATTGTTATTGGGTATTTGGCAAACTGGAAAGCAGTAGGAAAATAAAGGCAGAAAATATCTAAGAGAAAGTTCTAGTCTGAGAGCTTAAAAACTCTTAATATTCATAAATAGCATGACTTTGCCTGATCCTGTTCACTTTTTTATCAATCTATGGCAAATTAAGGCATACAGAAATAAATTTTATGCACAGCAAGACTAGGGAGATGCATACTTCAATCTAAGAAACAAATAGAATATACATATGGTGAGAAAACCTTCAACTAGATCAGTTTATCTCAGACATAAAGTCAAATTTTCTAGAAATTATTTCTACCCACATCATATTCTTGCTGTGTGCTCAGGAACAGTTAAAATCTGGGACTTTGGCAGTGGACAAGAGATGAAATTTTTGCCAGAAGGAAAAGACTGGAAGGAAGAACACTGGCCAAAACGCCTGATTTTCCTGAAGACTCAGGAAAAACACCAGCACTTCATTCTGACTTTGGAGTGCAATGGGAAAATCAAAATGATCCAGGTACAATCTCACTTTTATGTTTGTGTTTTAGGTGATTTTCTTGGGAAAATCAATAGCCAGTGGGTAATTTACATTTAACTTTTCTTGTCAGCTGGTTGAGTATGATCTACTCGAACAACCTCCCCAGGATATTCCAAAATAAACTTGCCAAGGTCCAAGAAAATAGAGGAATGGATAACTTCCCTGCCATAGCCTCCTACTCATCTAACTATTTTTCTGAAAGTTAATCAGATTCCTCAGGAGTATCAGAAAGATTAAATTTACACACTGTTCCCCTATGTTACTGTGCATTATCCCTCATTTGGGGCTAATTCCCGGGTAGAGTTGCTCTACGTGAATAGTTAGATGGGAAAGAAAGCGATGGTTTTTTCTTTTGTTGTTGTTGTTGTTTTTTCCTGTCCTCTATAATCCATAATGTATTTAGGGATAAGTCACTTTTTCAGTTTGTTACCAGAGTTGCTTTGTTTACTTCAAGATTAATGAAGCTGTTTGGGGGAATACTGAAGTAGGTTATTTAATTTTCCTGTGACTCTACTCATATCTAACAATGCTAATGCCTTCTTCATATTTAAAATGAAAGCAAGATTGTTCATCCTGCCTACTGAATAGATATTTCCCTGCCACATACTCAAATTAGCGTTGCCATTATTATCCCCTTTCTGAAAGGTAAGATCAGGTAAAAAAAAGTCTTGAGTTAGAACAGTGATCATGAAGTACTACTATTAAGATGACTGATAGTCTCAATGAGGAATAAAATAAACACTTGGATTCAATATGCTTGCTTTGTCTAAACAATCTGAAATGGCCTGCAGAAAGAAGTTTCTGGTGGTACATGCTAAAACACAGCAGTGAATTGATTTTCCTTCTTTTTGTTAGTGAAACTAACCATCAAGTTGTCCTAACTTGCAGGAAAGGTCTGTTTATAAACACTCCTTTGTTTCTATTTTTATTTTGTCCTTTATATCCACCACCATCCACCATCCTTTATACCCCTTTGCCTCTTTCTACCCCTTTGTGTCAAAAAACCTTAATTTGTTTATTGGTGTCCACTCATTCAATATATATTTTGATTTGTCAGATTGTCCACTACGTAAATATCCAGTATCTGTGTTTGTCATTCTGACTTGTTTCACAACACATCATTCCTTTAAACTCCTTCAGTTTTGTTTTCCTCCCCACACCTTATCTTTCCTTATTGCTGAATAATATTCCAAAGATACCTTGTATCTTCTTGATCCAGTCCTTTATCACTAGGCACTTATTCTGTTCCATGTCCTACCTATTGTAAATAATACTTAAATAAATATTATACAGCATAAACTTTTTTTTTTATTGATGGTTTCATGATCTTTGAAGAGAATATCCAAGAGCGGGATTGCTGGACCATATATTCTTTATGTTTTTACTTTAAAAAAAAGAGATTTATTTATTCACACAGAACTGGGGTACAGGCCAGAGATGCGTAGGGAGAGAGGATTCACCAGGGACAGAGTGGGGAGCAGAACAGGCAGATGGATGAGGTCCACTGCTAAGGGGAGCAGCAGGTGGTCAGGAGGGGTCTGCGGGATCGAACTCATGCAGAAGTGGCTTAAGCTTCTTAGTGCTGAGCTTTAACCCGCTGCGCCACCGGGGAGGGCCCTGTTTTTACTTTTTTTCGTAAGTCCAGGTCACTTTTTTTTTTTTTAAGATTTCTTTATTTGTGCATACAGAACTGGGGTACAGGCCAGAGGCTCAGGGGCGGCGAGAGGCTTCACCAGAGACAGAGTGGGGCACAGAACAGGCAGATCGACGAAGTCCACTGCTGAGGGGAGCAGCGGGTGGGTCAGGAGAGGTCTGCCGCGCCCTGTGGTCACCTCCGGGGCAGGCGGGAATCCAACTCATGCGGAAATGGCTTTAGCTTCTTAGTGCTGTGCTTTACCCTGCTGAGCCACCAGGGAGGGCCCCAGGTCACTTTCTTTAAAGGTTATACTAGTTTACATGACCACCAACATAGGATTAGGCTCCTCCTATCTTTAAGTCTTTGATCCATTTTTATTTGATTTTTGTATATGGTTTGAGAACATGAGCTAGCTTTATTTCAAGGATAACATCCTTATTGAATACCCAAGCGTCAGTAAGTTCTTGGATATTGAAACCATATGGAATACATTCTCTGAACATATAGTGTTGACATTTAGAAAGCTGAAAAATAAAAAAATATATCTATTTTTATAAATCCCTACTTAAACTGAGAAAGTCTACCAAGACTGGCAATAAAAATCCTAACAAGTGAAAGAAAGAGAAAAAGAAAGTGGAGAAGTCACAACATGTTATGGAATAAATCGACAAACTTATAGAAGCATACAAGTTTCCAAGTCTGAATCAGAAAGAGACAATATGAACAGACTAATTACAAGCAAAGAAATTGAAACAGTAATCAACCATCTCCCAGAATACAAAGCATTAGATGAGATGGTTTCAGTTGGGAGTTTTACCAAAGCTTAGAGGAGCTATTATCCTTCCTTCTCAAACACTTCCCAAAAAATGAGGAAGGCAGAATGCCCCCCAACATATGCTATGAGGCGAACACTACCCTGAGGCCAAAACCAGACAGGGTCATTACAAAGGAATAAAATAACTACAGAACAATATTCCTGATTAACATAGATGCAAAAAACCCTTAACAAAATCTTAGCAAAGTAAATTCAACAATAAACTTTAAGTTTCTTAACATTGATTACAATGATTGCTGTGGCTTTGTTTTTTGTGGCCTTGATTGCGTTGAGGTGTGTTTTTTCTCCCCTTGTTTCCTATGTATTGTTATAAATGGAGCTGATTTTTTTCAAAGGCATTAATCTATTGATATGACCATATGATTTTTGTCTTTCCTTTTATTGATATGGTGAATTACACTGATTTGCATAGGCAAAACAATCCTCCATCATGGGAAAAAGCCCCACTTGGTCTTCATTTAATTTAATAAAGTTTAATAAACAACTAAAATATTTAAAAAGCTTAAAAGCAATATTACATCTATACATATATGCTTACATGTGTACACATACGTCAAAATATTAAAATACAATATAAAGACATACTATTAAACTTTTCATAACTAGTACTTTATTCAGGTTACTAGTTATGTCTGTAGGTGGTTGAAAAGAGAATAAATTTATTTGGGAGGGACAGACAGGGATTAAGATTTGGTAAAGCTATAGATAATGGACACACCATATTGTGTTCTGTTTTTTCTTCATATCATTGAAACAGCTCAATGTAAAAGAATTAATGAATCTTGCCCTGGGTCTGTATTGTAGGGTAAGGAAGATGATATTTACCTTGTGGTGATATGGGAGCTGCCTGATATTGTGCCCGTTCTCCAACACGGGAGTCGCATCGTGCACTTGAAGAAGTCTGCTAAAAACACAAATATGACTATTCCAGATGTCGAGTTGATCATCGATAAAACCTTTACTCAACCTGTTAATGTAAATTTCATTTCTTAAATATTTACCTTTTATTATGGATTACTATAAACTATACAAAGGTGGAGAAACTAATGCAATGAATTTCTATGTACTACTGCTCAATTACAAAGTTCTCCGTGCACATCCAAGTATATTCCTCTCTCCTCCTACCATGTTCCCGTGAATACCACCAACGGATTATTTGGAAGCAATTCCCTCATTGCGTCATTCTATCCTCAGACATTTTGGTATTTAACTCTAAGTAATAGACCAAAAAATTATACTATGTTCTCAAATATTTTATAAAATAATTTACAAGAAGTTTCTATAATCATAACCTTTTTCTATTGTTCAAATATACAAGATTTCCTCATAGTCCAGTTTTTTTTTTTTACCAATTTTTTTTACCTCAACCAGGATCCAAACATGGTTCATTTCTTATAATTGGTTGTTAAAACTCTTAAATTTCTTAATCTAGACACATTTCAATCTATTTTTCCTTGCAATTTGTTTATTGAAAATATTGGGCAATTTGGAATCAAATTTTCCCTTTTTAAAAAATTTTGGTGATTTTATCCACAGTTATGATTTAATTTCTTCATTCCTTTGGTCTGGCAGTTATCTCTGGTGAATTATTTACATCAGCTTTGAATTTTTTGTATAAAACTCTATAGTGCATGAAGATCATCATAGTCCATTATGATTCATGTAAGTACTAGTTGTCTTTGGAGAAGCATTAGAAACCACTGATGATCACTACCGAGGTCTGTTGTTTCTTTCAAGTTGCTGTTCTACCATCCCAATTCAATATTATCTATTATACTCAATATAATATAGAGAATTTTGTATCCCATACTGAGTTGTATTACAGGAGATTATAGTTTCAGAATAAACAATAAAATTACTAGAAATATGTGAGCTGAAACAGTCACAGTTTTTATGTAGGACTTTGGCCTTACAGTGCATGTCTCTGAGAAAGGGGCATCAAATTGTCTTACTTTAAATTACTTGAAAAAATCCTTGTGCCACCAACTCTATACATATAAATTTCACGATCTATTATTTAATATGTGTGTGTGTGTGTGTATAAAACATTGTGTTTTAAGTTAAATGTAAAACAGCGAAGTGTACACACAGCGTTTGTGCCGTGCTCAGACACTGTGCTCACGATGGCCAGTGACTGTTTCCTCCCTGCAGAACTCAGGCAGCAGTGTGGAAGTGAGCTGCATTGATTTATTGCAAGTGGAAGGCTATAATCTGATAGCTGCTGGAACCTTAAATGGTGTGATTATATTATGGAATTTTGTAACATCTACTGTCAAAGAAGTGTAAGTATCATCTTTTACTTCAATAATATTATTTTCTACTGCAGGAGAAACAAAGTAGCATTTAATTCTGAAAACAGGGGCCTCCCTGGTGGCGTAGGGGTCAGGTCTCAGCACTATCACTGTGAAGGACTGAGTTCGATCCTGGCCAGGGAGGTGACCCACAGGGCACAGTAGACCTCTCCCGTCTTCCTTGCTACTCCCTCAGCAGTGTACTGTAGTCAGTCTTCTTGTTCTGCTCCCCACTCTGTTTCTGGTGAATCTTCTCACCCCCACACCTCTGGCTTATACCCCAGTTCTTCTATGCATACATAAATAAAAATATACCAAAAACAATAAACAAAAGTGGTGATAACTGCCAACGTAGGCTCTCCTGAAGGTTATGTTCATAGGAGAATATATTCTATATACCTAAATAAAAAAATAGGACCTCCCGGTGGCCTCAGGTTTAAGTCTCTGCACTATCACCAATACAACATGAGCTTGAGCCCCAGTCACGGAGCCAACCCACACATGGCCAACAGACCTTTCCTGTCTCACCTGTTATTCTTCTCAGCAGTGTGTGTCACTCTGCCTTCGGTGAATGCTCTCATGCCCCTGAACCTCTGGTATACTTCCCTTCTTCTGTGCAAAAAAAGGAGGCATACAGTTTCACCTTTAAAAAAAAAATCTGTGGCCCAACCTACTCTTCCCCAAACATCTCCTCACCCTAATATTTCTGGGTATGTTAAGGGGTAAATCATATTTTGCTACAAGAGCTACTTATGGTAAGGAGTGTTTCAAGTGTGGCTTTCAGAGGCACAAGTGACAGTAAAGAAGGCTAGGAACTACGGCTCTGTCTTGGGAAACTGCCTAGGAAGGTGTATGATTCTTTGGGATTTGGGTCAATCCAAGATACAAGCAGCAAGAATAATCAGTGAACTCACCTGCTTGTCTTCATCAATTATCCTTCAGAGTGGTCATCACATTTTATGTTGGTCTGTCATTCTCCTTTATTCAGAGTAGAATTTTGTTTTCTAAACTGTATGAAACTCCCAGGAGTTTATTTAAGCCTACTTTCTGATCTAGGTGGGAAAACTTCCCCAGCTAATTGAATTAAGGCACTTAAGATACTGATCATGCTATTACACAGAGTCTTATTTAGAAAAGTATATTCAAACTCTACACCTATGAGATTTCTCTTCATGTGATCTCGACACTCCAGAGTTGGTTAGCTCTGCATGAGATGTGTGATGTAAGTATAAATTACCTAATTTTCAAATGTGTACATGCAACCATTTGCTTATTTTTAGGCACAGACCTGAAGAAGGCACCTCAAAGGACCCGGACTTGGAATCTAAACACTTTAGAATTAATGACATACTGTTCCTGTTCCGTACTCCTGAATGCGCAAGGTAATTCAGTACCTCCTGATCAAGAAATACAGTCTGATGTGATACATAAAGAGTTCTCCTGACCCAAGTGCCAAGGAGGGTAAGAAGACATGAATTGGGTTCACTGCCTGGCTTCAGCTTTTTTCCCTGTAACTGTCTGTTGTAGGTAGATAGGTGGTCACATGAATCTAATTTCCAGGGCGGGATCTAAGATCTTACCATGTCACTCATAACTTCCTTTACAGCACTAGCAGAAATAAAAATTTTCACCTGACCATACTTGCAACCACACTCTAAGAAAGCATTCTTCATTGATTTATGAGCAAGTAGATGATTGTTAAATGTTTGAGAAAAAGGTATTTTTCCTATGTATAATTTACTAAAGAGCTCTGATTTTTCAGGCAATAGGCAGTAGGAAGGACATCTCTCTCGAGAAATCAAGTGTAGGTCACTGACCTTTGAACCATAATGTAACACCTTCTCTAATCCTTGACTTGAAATATCTTTGTTCTGAGACTGTTTAGAGGACGTCTGAGTGTGTCTGTACCAAAATTCTAAGCCACATTTTAGCCCATTCCAGAACACTGCAGCCCAGACAAAACTCAAAACATTGAATAAATGCTAGCAAAATAGATGTCATGGAGATGTAATGGACAATACTGAACCGTATATTTGAAGAGCTGATTTTAAGTTTAATCATAAGAAACAACTTGTAACCGTATGGTGATGGATGTTAATGATGATTTTAAAATATGTACAAGCATTGAGCTATGTTGCACACCTGAAATTAATGTCATGTGTCAATGCATAAATAATTGTTTACAGTTAGCCAGGTTTGTCCGTCTCCCTGCCTCCCTTCCCGTTACCGCACTAGCAGCCATTTCATTGTTAAAGTCTCTAAATCTAGATTTAAGCAATGGTACGGGACAGATTTCTATTTCCTAAGTCCTGGAAGCAATAAACCTTAATGCCGGAGGTTTGGCAGCGTTCTCCACCAACACCAGGCAGATGAACACTTGTTATAGAAGGTTTAAGATGTGGCTTGTCTCAAGAGTGGCTTTCCACATTGGAGTGAAAAGTAATCAATTGAAATTATAGTGAGAAGCAGCGTTGAGTATCAGCTTTTCCTCAATGGGTTTCCTCTCTCCTCTTACAGGAGATCAAGCCAGGATTCCATATGCTCTTCATCCCACTGTGAGTCAAGTAAGGGCGCGCAGAGTAGTAAGGTAAGCGAAAAATAGGGAGAGTATGTCTTGTCAAACTCAATTTGGGTCAAAAATAGTGGGATTTATTATTTGAACCTCTCCTTTGAAGGAAGGTATGAGTGTAAAAATTATGTATATGTACGCATAAATATGTTTCAGTTTCCCTTAAAAGCAATGTCAAAAGTTTTCATCACTTTTCCTACTTTTTAAAGATTTCTTATCTGCAAATGATAAATACAAAACAGAAATAAAATAACTTCCATATGCTACTTTTATACTGATAAAATGATAATTTAGGGTATTGCCAAAAGTATTAGTGTTCAGTGGGTATACAGTTATATTAAGAGGCATCATGTAAAGCAATGTTTTAAAGTATGTTCTCAGTCCAATTTCATATATTTTTACACATTACACTTCTAATTAGGATGTTGCTTGGAAGTTTTTCACTGCAGAAGCTATTTTAAAACCACTAGCATGATGGAAAGAACAAACTTAGCATGATGTGAAAATCAGACAGGCATGTACTTGAATCCAAGTGCTTGATTTATCTTGTGATTAGCTTTAGAGATATCACTTCATCTCTGAGTTTCTGTTTCTTCATGATTGAAAAGACAATAATGCAGCCTAACCATGTGGTTGTCCATAGAATTAGAATGTGGTACGTGTAGGCACTTAATTACACCGTTATGACGCTACACCTGTTTACTCAGAAAACGTCCTGTTACATTTTACACCCTATTTATGGACATGCAGTTCTCTGCAATGCATTTCCTCAAAGAATCAAATTAAAAATAATTTTAAGAAAACAAAGTTTTAGACTGCTCATCTATTAGTGGTTACCAGAGGTGGCGAGGGAGGGAAGAGTGTATGAGGGGTCACAGTTTGCTGGAGGATAGAAGCAGACTATGGAGGATTAAGTTAATGTGGTACATATACACGTTGCTTCTCAGTGATGCTCACTTGCAGCTTACATACTGTGCTAATGCAATGCACTTCAGTAATAAAAAAACATAGAAAAAAGTTTTAAAACTAGCATTTAGAAATGTAAATTGAACTATCCAAAGTGTCTGCTCATCCAGTACACCTCATTTCCTTACAGTATCGTTGATGTTGACAGTCTTACAATGTTTTCTCTTTTTCTGCCCTAATTCAGGGAAGCAAACAAAGCGTACATGACAGTGAGGTTAAAGGTCAGTGTGAAGTCACCTCTCTTCCTTAAATAAAAGTATGCGTAGATAGGTTTGTTGTGGTGATCACTATGAAAACGTATACAAAGGCTGGATCTCTAAGTTATGCTCCGGAAAGTAATATAATATAGGTCAGTTATATTCCATTAAAATTATTTTGCAACAGACAGCTTAGAGGGTAGATGATTTTTTACAACATATTTTCTTTATGTGACTTACTCAGAGGTACAACACCATTCAGTGGTCTAAAAGGCAGAACTGCCATTATAATGATGCCTTTTTAGATACTAGCTGTAGATTTTGAAAATCCAAAATATTTCTGAGTCTTTTAGCCTGCAACTCGTTTTCCTGGCTCACCTGAGGTTCATCAGCCATCTGTGTGCAGGAGGCACACCTGCTTTGAGTCGCCATGTTCTATGAGGAAGCTTTTGCAGTAAGACCAGAACTAGCTCCTGAGGTTTTCCAGTCACACAGAATTCTATGTTAACTCTTATGTTGTTTTCTGCCCTGATTGAAATCCACTGGTATTCAAAAAATTCTAGGGACGATAATATACTATTACTGTTATTTTCCTACTTGCATCTAAGTATTACATTGTATAAAATTCAAAGTATTACAAACACCATAGAAGCTGACTAACTTTCCAACAGATGAGAAAACAGATGTTACAGTGAGACATCGACAGCCAGTGGACAAAAAGCATCCTGCAGGCAGCAACTTAGCAGAAACTCAGCCACCGATTATTGTCACTGCTCACGAGGACGGACACCTCCGCTTGTGGACCTTGGAGGTCAGAGAGCTTGTCCTTTGCCTGGGCATTAAGGGATGGGGAAGGTGCAAGCTTAACAAATGGATCTTAGCCTTCTAAGTTTCCTTGCATTGTCCAATCCTAATTTTTTAAAAAGACTTACTTATTTATGAACACAGTATTAGCGTACAGGCCAGAGGTGCAGAGGTGGTGAGAGTCTTCACCAGAGACAGTGGGGAGCAGAGCAGACAGCTGGACTGAAGTACACTGCTGAGGGGAGCAGCGGGGAGACAGGAGAGGTCTCACACACCATGTGGGTCACCCACTGGTGGGGCAGGAAATGGCTCTGTAGCCCCTGAGGCTTAGTTCTGCTGGCTATAGCCTGTCTTACAACTTGTAAGGCTACACAGATTTTACAGTAGGACAGTATTGTAACTTAGAAGATCAAATCACTAAAATTAGCAAGTTAATTATTTCCAATCTTCTTTAAAATTGTACTGTGAGAGTATGCCACTAAATATTTCAGTAGATATTTAAATAATATTCAATTGTCGATGATCTATTACAACAATAGGACATACTGAAATATTGAATATACATCAATTTTTAGTTATTCAATCTATTGGAAGAAGTTATTACATTGTATTGCATGTCCTTAAATATTTTATAATGAGGAAATAATGTTCACTTATTAAAATAGTCAAGTGACTTGCCAAAGCAAACCTCAAGGACAGCAATGTAATGATCACTCTTAGTGCTTGTAATAAATAGTTGTCTATACTTGTATAAATATTTATTTTAAGGAATAAGCCTGTATAGGCTGTTCCAAATGATTTGTATTACAAGAAAGAGAATTATCTTTCAGCAGTAAGGAAGTTCTATGGATAGATTATTTGTATAGAAACTTAACTCCAACATTTTTCACTGAATTTACTGTTATGCCTTATTAAGGGAAGGCTACTGAAAGATATGCTACCTTTCACCAAATATTCTGCCATTTCTCTGACATCACTGTATACTGACTCATGCACCAGGATACTACTGGCTGGAAATGTTGGTATGTTGTTACTCTTACGTAGTCAGCTATAGAACATGTATAAGAAAATAGGTCATATTTATTGACGAGAGAAAGTAGGGGGATGCTCACCTAAGCACGAAAGAGGATATTATCGATTACTTGCTGAATAAACATAACAATGAGTGAAAATCAGAAGAACCTAATTCATTTCTTCCTCCCACCCCAAGATTTTTTTACAGATTTATTTTACTTCCACGTAGAACTGGGGTGTAGGCCAATACTGGAGTGTACAGAGTGGGGGTGTGAGAGAGAGAGAGAGTGGGGAGCAGAACAGGCAGGTCTACTGAAATACCCTGCTGAGGGGGCAACAGGTGAGGCAGGAGAGGTCTGCCGAGTCATGTGGGTCAGCTCCCTGGCCGAGGACCTAACCCAGTGCTGAGACTTAAACCCTGGGCCTCCAGGGAGGCCGAACACAGTTCATTTCTAGTTCTTAGCATAAGACGTTGTATTTTATGATAACTTTACCTTATATGTTGAAAAGGATATAAACTTTTCATTTTTAATCTTGAAAATGCCAAGTTGTGTTAATCTTCATAATTGGAGTAGTGGGATGAATGAGAGAAGAAAAAGATTATTTTCAATAGGGAATTTTGTTTCATACCTACTATTATAACTAATATAGTTGATTTCAATTCTTTCATTTCATTCTTTTTTAATGTCTTTTCTATTTCCTTCCTTCTGTCTCTTGACTTAGTACTAAGTTGTCTTTCTTTTCTCCTCTCTTCTGCTTCGAAGAGTCACATATATGTTAATACACATGCATGTGTAAATGTACTTTTCAGTCTTACAACTGTTTAAATTTCTGTTCTCCCCAAATAAACAATCTTGATTAGAAAAGTATTATTGTTCTGTAGTTTTCATGGCATGTGCTTTTGTGTTTTGTTGGCTTATGTAATCAATAGAGAGTATTTCCTCTTCTAATCTTTTGGAAGAGATTACGGCAAAAATTGGAATCTGTAAATTTGTGGTAGAATTCACCATTACGTACATTGCGCTTAGGTTGTCTCTTTCTTGGAAGATTATTAATTACTGGTTCAATTTATTTCATAATGTAAATCTACTCTGGTTATTTTTTGTGTCAATTTTGGCAGCCTGTGGCCCTCCAAAGAAGTGGTCCATTTCATCTAGGTTGTTAAATTTGTGGACATAAAGTTTGTAATATTTCTTTGTCACCCTTTTAATACCCACAGAATTCATAATAGTAATTTGTGAGAATGCAATGCATCTACTACACCACCAGGAAGCATAATATTAGAGCTGTGTCCACTCTTTTTTTCTTAGTCTGTTTAAGACTTTAATGATTTTATTGAATTGTTAAAGAATCAATTTTTGGTTTCTTTGGTTTTCTCATTAATTCTTGTTTTCAGTTCCAATAATTTGTGCTCCAATTTTTGTCATTTATTTCTGCTTACTTGGATTCAATTTTCTTTTCTTTTTCTAGTTTCCTAACGTGGGAACAAAGTTATTAATTTTATATCTTTCTTCTGTTCTTATATATGTATGTCTAATGCTTATTTCACTACTTCTCAAATATTTTGAGGTAACTCTTAGCTTTTCTCTTCCATAGATAGGTATTGTCTTCTTCCAGCTTCTTTCATAATTTCTTTCTTCATTTTTGGTTTTCTGTAATTTCAATATGGTATATCATGGATAATTACCACTGCTTTGTTTAAGTCTAGTTTTTGTAACTATTAATTCGGTTGTGGTAGGGTGTAGGCAACAGAATACCTAATTAGGATCCCAATGTTTAAATTTCATGCAGAAGGACATGTTATTCTTTGCAGTATTAGTTCATTCCTGGATTCACCTCATGATGAAAAGGTAAGAACTTCTCTTTTAATTTGAATAATAAATTAGAACATATTTGTGGAGAATTTCTCTATGCTAGACACCACACAAGATAGAAACAAAACACAAAACTTTTCACTCTCAGGTTATAAATAATGCTATTGAAATATTAACTATCTGACAAATAACAGTGATTTACTGGTGAATACAAAGAAGGAATTAATGGGCCAGCCACACAATTCTTGTGCATATGTGGCTATATAAATATTCTTTATATCATAAGGAATCTAGAGTTCAACAAGGAGACAAAATCTTTTCCCTTTAGTGCTCTACCCTAAAAGCTAAAGGTTAGCTAATCTAAGAATGTTTTATTTTCCACTATAGGTGTTAACACACAAATTATACCTACCTGTAGGTATAGGTAGGATCATACTTCTTATGGAATACCTTTAGTAATTTATTACTAAAAACAATTTTTCATTTGATCAATGATGTTTACTTTTTGTTTTCAAGATTCCCTTATATGTTTTAATAAAGATCACCTTTTTAGTTTTTTTATGACTATTTCTCCTTCGCAGGGGGATTATCAAAGTATAGCTTACCTAGAATCACATAGATTGTTACTGAAGTCATGGTCAGAACCAGGTTCTTTTATTCTAATTCAATGTTCTTTCTATAAAGGCCACAACTATCACACAAACTGATAATAAGATTCAACTTATGAAGCACAGTGCTTCATTTATCAGCTATAAATGGCTTATAATTAAAGCACACTGTGAGTTGAACAAAAGAAGTTTCACACTTGAATTGTGTATGGGTAGAAGGTCATTAAATTGCTTTTTCCTACTTGTGATAAATATCATTATTACTAAAGTTACCATATACCAATTATTAATAATCTACATATTTGTAAGGAGAGTTTCTATAAATTGGCAGCTAAGACCTTTCAAAATTCAGAGAAAATCTTTATGACATTTATATATCAATACTAATATTGAATTGCATAATGATGGAATGGTTTTAAAGATATTTTCCCAACTTAAGGGAATATTTTAATATTACCTAAATTCTTTCATACTCAACCTCATTGAAGCCTTTGCTGTATTTAGACAATATAATTTTCCAATTTGTACATGGTTGCCTATGTATCAATATACGAGAGGATCTGCATTTAAGACACTTGATTATTTATTTATTTGTATAGAAGAAATGGGGTGTAGGCCAGAGGTGCAGGGTGTGAAAAGATCCACCAGAGACAATTCTGCTTGTTAATTCTTCATAGAATATACTCAGTCCACCCTACTTTCCATGAAGAAAATAGCATTTTATTCTAGATAACATCGGAAAAGTAGGTCCAGTCTTTTGGTCAGTCTCCCCTTTGATCTCTGTCTTACCTTTGGCTCCTGACTACATTCGCCTGCAGTTTGCCAACAATCTTTCCACAGAAAATTTTTTCTCATCTCTTAATCCTCAAATCAATAAAGTTGCTTCTTCAATTAAATGCGGAATCTCTGAAGACCTACTATGCTTCCTCTCCCAGGAATATGTATAGCATAATAAATATCTGAAAATGAAATTTTTGGTACCTCAAAAAGCAAGAGAAGAGCTCATTGGGGTAGGGACTTTTTCATCTTGGCACAGATGTTTCCATTCACTCCTAAACTTACTTTTTGATGATTAAAGATTTTGCTTGAGGTTGGCTTTGGATCAGCTCATACCGAAGGGCATGCTTTATTATTTCTATCTAGAAATTCAAGCAACTGCTCTCCTGGCGTGCTCATTCTTTAGGAATTATTCAAGTCATCTATGTAGAAGAGAAACAAGTGGTGCTTACTGCTTCCATTGATGGCTCGGCAAGGTACGAACCTGCATATTGTACATTCGAGGTTTTGAGAATGGCTGATAAAGGATTTTAAAGTTTAAATGTCTTAACTAGCCAGTTTCAATAAACAAATAAATGTGTCATAAAAGGTCTTCCAGAAAATGGTCACCGAATTAGAATTCTTGATGCCCAAGGAAGTGAGATGCCATGGTTATCTGTGTTGGAAGGTATGAGTAATATTTTCAATAAAAGAATTCTTGTAAATATATTTCAAAGACATGAACAAGGTGGGCCACTCAGAGAGGTAGGTCAGAGTTCAGTGAAGGCTACAAAATGAGATATGGAATCAGAAGTTTTAAAAATCCTAAAAATAAACTACTCATCCTGAGGAAAAGAAAAGTGACCTAATAGCTTAATAGATGATGTGACTGATCTTGCAAAACCCACTTGTTTTTAATTGCTTAGATAACACTAAGTATGTACCCACAAAATATTAAACATACATCCTTATTTAGACAGAAAAAGGAAATGTCATGACATTTCTTGAGACAAATTACTACACACTAAAGTGTCTTAAATTAAGAAGTAGTGAATTATCCTCTTAAGAGAATAAAATTAGGTAAGATCAAGAGCAGTCGAGAGACTTCAAATGTTTTTAGAGACTTTAAATTTAATGAAGACTAAGAAGGAAGGAATATTTTATGCTACAGAGGAGACTCAGGAGTCTATGGCTAGGCTTATGAGCGTATAGCTGGTGAATTAAGGACAAGACCTTGCAGAGTCTAGGAGACATTGTCAAGTATTTGACCTTCACCTTGAAAGAAACAGTCACTCAAGAATTTTAACTGGGAGAACTAGCATAATCATATATATTAAAATAAAAACATGATGTATGAAAAATGGATTTCAGAGCAGCAAACGTGGGAGCAAATAAACCAGTAAAAATCTGTGGTGATTACAGTGTCTTGGCCTAGTGGAGCGGTTACAGTGCTCGAGATAAATATTTTTCACTGGAGAATAATCTGGGAGATAAAACCCAGAAAACAAGAGTTTTAGCGAAAAGGCTAGTGATAGATTTCAGGAAGGATTCCAGGTATGTACATCCAAGTGAATGTTTGTTATCATTCACTAAGAGGGAGGCACGAAGAAAAGAAAATATTATAATTACGGGTAAAGAAGAAACTTTATAAATGTTGAGTTCACGGCGAAGCCATGGTGATATGGTCCTCTGTGTTGGAGCAATTAGAGTTGCTTTCCCAGTCAGCCAGGAGATGTTTTATTTGTAGAAAAATTTAGGAGCGTGACATTTGGATGTTATCATTTTTGTCAAAAGAAGTTTCTGGGATCTCTCTTCCAGCTTATTTTCAGTTACCTGTCAGCAGAAAGCTAATCGTAAACACAGGCAAATAGACCACATTAAACACATGCCTCTGTCCTAATGAATATTCTCGCATCAAATCTGTTACCTTTGACTTGAAAAACTTACTTTTATGATTTCTTCCAGGACAATCTCCCTAGAACTAGTGTGTCCACCTTCCTCTATTAATAGTTGTCTCACGACACAGTTCTCTCCATGGCCAACCCTTGTCATTTTCTTAGCACTGGCTGCCACTTTCTAAGGGAGGGGGCAATTCCAACTCTCGAAATCTTGTCTGTCAAAAAGATTATGGATTAATAATCAGGAGCAATAATAAAGGACTAACTCTGAGGCACAGGTCAGAAGAGACTAAAGTCCCATGTCTGAGACCAGGAGATCAGGCCAGGGGTGGCCCACTGGGCAGGGAGCATTCCATGTGGGTCAGGAAATGCCACAAAACAAGGAAACCAAGAGTTCCTTCAGCGCTCACCTAAAACAGAGTGAATTTACAGTTGTCTTAGAGTCACCCTCTGCGGGGGCCCATTTCACTTTGGTGAAGATTCTGGCAAGGCTGTGACATGTGACGTTAATTTATTAGGACACTGTCAGACGTGAGGGGTCCTGACTGGATACTTCTACGCTGCCTCCTCCCCGCACCGACCTCTTTGTTCTGGAATACCACTCCCACTTTGTGGAATCTATTCTAGTTCATTAAGCTTGTTTCTAGGTCACTGTAATAAGCACATGCTGATACCATCATTCATGACACTAGTGTTGCAATCGAGATGCAAAAGGAAGCTCTTCCAAATACTATTTTTTTCTTTCCACAAAACATACCACAAACCCTGTTCATGCCAGTCTGTATTACTTTAAAGCACTTGGGATATTAACAGAGACCCCGTGGAATGGATTATTGGTCAAATAATGCATAGGATAAAGAAACACTTATTTTGCCATCCTATTTCAGACCTCTGTTGAGAAAATTAATGGGATGTTTCCACAATAATAGGACTTGTAGCTAATGGCTGAGAAGATGTCAGTAACAGTAAAAGCAGCAGTGGGTTATTTCCTCCCGCAAGTTCTGTTGATGTGGACCCAGTGAGTTGGCAGCTGATGTATCCTCTAATATATTAAAGCTTAGTTTAACTAACATACTATCAGACTACATGAGTTCTAGTTAGCTGAAAGGGTAGTTTTACATGGGGAAAAATCTATTGCCTGATTTCTGACTTTAATTTACAAGTATCATATATATATGTATATAGATATGTTCAAACTGACATCTTCCAAAATTGTTACAGATTAAGATTTTAACTGATAAAAATGTTTATGTTATGACAGCCAACATATTTAGTAGGAAGAATCCCAGGCTTAAGTTTAAAATTCCTCAATTAAAATCTGTATCAATGACATGATGAAGCGAGTAACTTCCACTGAGTTGCAGTTATTCCCCCCCGCCATACCACCACACGTTTGTCTTTCTGCAGAGTCTGGCATGCAGCCAATGGTCACTACTGTGGATATTTTGGGCAGCGAAGAATGTTTGACCTGTCCCAGACAAGTGATTTAATTTTGCCTTGCGATGTTAAAGAATATTCTATAGAAATAAAGGAAGAAAACAAGTTCACAGAGAAGAAGCAAAAATATGAATATCCTCTGATATTTGACAGGAAAAGGTAAGACATTGGGCTTCCTGTAAGTTAGTGGGTAAAGATAAACTGTTGTGACAGTGGATTGGACATGGAAAAATGCAAAGATTTGAACAGTTCAGTTTTCAGTAACGTTGCAACCAGTGGAGAGAAGAAATATGTAAATCAAAAGCTACGATTTCATATAAGAGCACTGATAGGAACATCTAACTCACAAGATTAATTTTTTTTTTAAAGATTTATTTATTTGTGCATACAGAACTGGAGTACAGGCCAGAGGCTCAGGGGTGGTGAGAGGCTTCACCAGAGACAGAGTGGGGAACAGAACAGGCAGATCCACGAAGCACACTGCTGAGGGGAGCAGCGGGCGGGTCAGGAGAGGTCTGCCACACCACGTGGTCACCTCCAGGGCAGGCAAGAATTGAACTCATGCGAAGCAGCTTTAGATTCTCAGTGTTGTGCTTTAACCCGCTGCGCCATCAGGGAGGGCCCACAAGATTAATTAAAAAAAAAAAAAAAAAGCACTATGTAAAACTGTTGGTCTTTTAAGGCTTGGAGTCCAGGGAACAAGTCAGGAGGATACTTAGCAAGAGATAAGCCAAGAACAGTCTGCAGGGGCTAAAACACAAAGGGATTTTGTTATGGGCCACCAGAAGTGGGGTACTGACTAGATGAGCTTCATGTGGGAAGAATAAAAGAAGGTTGTCTAAGATAAAATCCTTGAATCAAATAATAAGTGTTGGTCAAATCTGGGAAGACCTCGTGCCATCATCTAGTTCAAAGAAACTGAAATTAAGAGAAGTCACGTAAAATTTGCATCATAACAGAATCAATCTGTAGACAATCAGATGGTTTCAGGCATCTTTCAAAATCCATTGATCTTTCAAGACTTGCCTTGGCTGGCTAGTAAGAAAAAACTGGAGATATCTGTGTAAATGTAACATTCATCAAAATATGACTAAGGTCATCAAGAAAATCTTTATATCCCAGTTTTTAGCTCAGTGCTTAGTACACAATTGGCACTCAACAGATACTTGTGATGAATGAAGAATAACTAATGGAGAATATTATAAGCAAAGGCAATGTGAATATTCAGAATTCTGAAAAAGTATGATATATTTGTGATCACGTAAATAAAGTATTATATATGTGTTCATATAAGCAAATAATTTTGTCTGTAACTAACTGGGCCTTCTTAAAGGTCCATTTAGGATGTATGACTTGTTATCTTTTAAAATATTATTAAAACTTAGCTATGAGTTTAAATTATATGTTCATGTGAGTTTTTACTATAGTAGAAACAGGTAAAAATTAAGCATTTCTTTTGTACCAGAAGTTTATTTATCCTTCTATAGTTCCTTTTTCCTAGTGACTATTAATGAATTTAATTACAGAAATGTTTAGACTTAGAAAAAAATCTCTGTGGTTTTCTTGAAGGAAACCTGGGAACCTAAGTTAAGTAGATTAATAATTAAGTGCAGAGGATCATTAGGACTGATGTCATGGGATTCAGAGAGTCTTGAGGCTCAGAGGAAGAGTGACATAGTGGGTCCTTCAGTATGCATTTGGTAGGCAGAGAATCAAAGTTGTGCTTATGTGCTTACCAGTTATTCCTGTATCTTTCTATGCAGATGGCATAAAATGAGTTCAATGTCTTTGCTTTTCAAACGTACACCTGCCAAGCCCTTTCAAGTGGAGCATGATTTTAAGTTTTTCAAGTCTCTTTCTTCTCCCAAGGTAGTTTTAAAAACAAACCAAACTAACCAAATAAACAAAACCCTACTTTGTTCTTGTTTAGATATGTCCAATATTTTCGTTTTCTATTGCTACTAACATGGTAGCTGTAATAATTCAAATTAATTATATTACTTAGTTCTATAGATTAAAACTCAAATCTGGACCTCACTGGGCAAAAATTAAAGTGTTATCAGAACTGTGTTCTTTTCTGGAGAGAATGTAGAATCGACTCAAGTTTAATCTAATGTAATGTTTCTTTGTCTCTTTCCTCTGAAAGTCCCAAAGAGAATAAATGAGAAATGTAGTCGATGCATCATAGGGAAACAACAAACATTCCACTTTCTCCACAGCCCTTATCTCTCCCGGCTTTATTTCTCATAACATGTCCACTTATCATGTTCTGTGCTGAATCAGAATGACTGATATTATTTCCTTTACTTCCTAAATTGTAATTTTTTCTCAACAAAGATGTATGCATGGCGTGTCACAGATACTCATGTCTATTGATTAGGATTAAAGTAGCACAATCTGGCGATCAAGACTGTTATTCACTTTTAACATTCTCTTCAACTTGAAGATAAATATTTTTTAAACTATCTTACCTCATACATTAAAAAAAATTGGGGGGAAACTTTAAAAGGTTTCAGGGCTCTTGAAACAGTGATACTTACATTGGAGTATCTCCTTACCATATAAATATCCATTTGATCCTCCTAAAGTATCAGCAAGAAAATAACTTGCCTAAAATTATATAGCTAAAAATTACCAGTGGCACAATGTGAACCCATATATTTTGCCATTGACAGAGTATGTCCTTGAATCATTAAACATTCCCTCTGCTTTCTAGATTCGAAGACATGCCTTGGAAGGTTTCATGACTGAAAACAGAGAAGCGGGAATTGTCTTTGGTTCTCTGCCTATATATAGGGTGAGCTGGGGACAGCTAGGATGAGAGGGATGATAAAACAGCAGGGAATCTGTCACATCGTTTCTGATACTGGGCTCTCGGGGAAAGTTAGGGAAAATCAAATTAACCAAGCAAATTGATCTTCCCATAAACATGTTGTGTCCATTCTCAAAAAAGAACCAGTTCTGCTGGTCTGTGACCTTGATAACTTGACCCTTCCATTACACATCGAACAACCCTACAGAAAACTATTTTGAACTTTACTCTGATTCTTTATTATCTATTAAGAAAATCAAGTGATTTTTTTTACCCTGGTATACAAACTCTTCATGATTTAGCCTGTACGTGAACCAAATTCATACCCATTCTTTAAACCTTCACTCCAGACAACCTCTCCTAATAACTAATTAATAAACCAGGAGCCAAATATTTCAAGTTAATCTTATTATTTCTTAACATGGTGCTCTCTGCCCATGAACATTTTCATTGTGATAGGTATTAAACGCTTAACATACAGGTCACACTAAGGGTGAAAAATGGAGAATTAATAATGTACAGCCAGAAAGGGTGGGGTGTTCTAAAGCAGTTATCTTTCTCACTTTCTGCCCCCATCCCTGAATTCATACAATTGAAGTGATTGTCTGAAGTTTGTCTTACTAGCTTTGGTTATGACTTTAGGTACCAAGCCCCCCTAGTCTGAGGTACCTTCCACTAATTGGTTCAGAAACACAAAAGGACTCTACCGATGGCATTCAAACAAAGAAGAAGGGAGGTCATGTTCAACATGAAAAGGTAAATTAAGTTCTCAGAATTATAGAGTATATTCCATTTTTGTTTGGATTTGTATTTTTTTTTTTGGTTCCACAAACTTTCTGTCCTTAATACTATGTCAGTGCTGAATCTTTTAATGAATATTCCAGGATGCATGTGTTGAGTTCAAAGAGATGGAAATCATGAATTTGTTGGACTGAGAAGAAAGCTAAATAGGATCTCTGAGATGAAAGAAATGAAACTTTCCAGGGTTAATTTAAGAATTCGGATTAGTCTTTGAAACTAGGTATATGACACATGTCTGAGGTGGTATGGTCATCTTTATTTTTTTAATTTTTAAAATTTACTTTGTATTTATTTTCTTACATCATTGTTAACATTTGGACTTGATGTCTCCCGTCAGGGGTAGTCCCCAGTCTCCCGCCGCTGCAGCACCTGTGAGCCACCCCCACAGTTCCTTGTGTTCTTTTCTCCCATTCTCACCCCTTTCACATACCCTCACCTTCGAGATGCCTCAGACCTATTGCCAGCTTGCCAGTTTTGTTCTTTTACCTGACCAACTTTGTTTAGTTTCTCTCTAGCCCTTGTAAATGAACTCATCTGATATTTTTTCCATCTGGCTTATTTCACTGAGCATAATTAATCTCCTCTAGCTGCATCCACGTTGCCATAAGTGGCAGGAGTTTCTTTTTGGATTGCTGAGTAGTATTCCATTGTGGGTCTGTACCACATCTTCTTATCCATTTAACTGTTTGGGGACATTTAGTTTGTTTCGTTCCTTAGCTATGATAAGTAGTGTTGCATTAAACAAAGAAGTGCAGATTTCCTGTGGTTTAGTGTTCTTGTGTCCTTTGGAGGGGGGATCATAAGGTAGATCATTTTTAGAATGTTGAGGCTCTTCTACACAGCTTTCCAAAATGGCTAGACCAGTTTTCATTCCTACTAACAGTCTAATGGGATTCCTTTTTCACCACATCCTCGCAAGCACTTATTTCTGGGTTTTGTTTTTTACAATAAAGGCTATCTTAGAGGTGCGAGGTGATATCTCATTGCGGTTTTGATTTGTAGTCTCCTGTTGTTATTGTTAACTATATATTTTCATATTCCTGTTGGCTATTTGCATTTCTTCTTTTGGAAAAGTGTCTTTGAACTCCTCTGCCTATGTTTTGATTGGGCCTATGCTTTGGTTTTGTTGTATAAGTTTTTGTACATCTTTAATTATTCTCTCTAATCAGATTTATGGTGTGCAGATATGGTCACCTGGCTGTGGCATCTGTCATCCCATTGGCCCCCAGGAGCCAGAGGTGATCTGGCTGTAGGCAGGTGTCTCTTCCTCCCACACCACTGAATGTTCAGCCCTCCAAAGGCTGTGCACTTGACTGAAGAGGACAGCCTTCCCCAAACGGAGGTGGACCGACCTTTAGTTAGGGTGCAGGAGCAGCTGTGCTCCCCACGAGGCCCTCCAAACCAGCTCCTGAGGTCCATCTTGCTTTTCATCTTACTGCACATAGGGGGTGGAGCGACAATATCAACAAAGTTTCCAAATCACCATGAAAGTCAAGGTGAATTGTCCTACACAGTAATAGACATAACTGACACAGTGATTGACTGTTTTCATATTGTTTTTATGAGTCCCTTGATTTTCACAATAATTACCAATAAATACTACAACTATCATACAGTTGGGGGGGGGGAATTAAGCATAAAGCATAAATAAGTGACTTCCCAAAGATCAAATAAGAATTAAGTGATCAGCTGAGGTCTATTGTGACTCCAAATTTCATGCTCATTCTGTTATATCAGATAGTGTAAACATCATTCTTCTACTAGTTCTGAAAAATGTGTGGGGGCCTAACTTAACTGTGGCCATTCAGTTCGTCATTGAAATTAATTAAACATTAACAGAAAGATCTAGTAGAGTAATTTTTATGTCTCCTTTGCATGGAATTAGACTAAAATAGAAAGGAGATAGCTCTTATTGTCTGTGTCTAATTAAATAACAGGTGACAAACAGAACTACAACACAACAAAAAGCTGTTTTAATTAAGTAATACGGAAATTGTAATTATTTAGTGTGTGCACTTAATGGGAATATGAATGATTCTTAGTAATTATAAATTCCCTCAATCATTGAAGCAAGAGTTTTTGACAATACAAGAATGTCATCTAAAAATGTCATTTGTGTTTAAGTAGTGGATGAAACATATAAATAATAATCTAAAACATATGCCCCAGGTTTTCATTCTATTTGTTTTGTCTCATCTGATATTAAATATACTTTACATTGTCTAGGTAAAAACCAATGACAAGAAGAATATTGATCAAGTATGTCTTTAGCACCAAGAGGAAGGCAATATGGGATTAAAAATTAGTCATTGTTTATCTACCTACTGAATAAACTGCAGTCAGATAATTAGAAGTTAATTGTACTATGACTAATTTTATCAGAAATTGTGAAAAATTGGGGCTTCCCTGGTATCTCAGGTGTTAAAGACAAGATGCTGGGTGGTGAGAGGATTCACCAGAGACAGAGCGGGGAGCAGAACAGGCAGATCTACTGAAATGAGGGGAGCAGTGGGAGACTGGAGAGATCTGCTGCACTATGTGGATCAGCTACCGGGCCAGGGATCGAACTTGTGCAGCAGTGACTGTGGCAAGCTTCATAGTGCTTCATAGTGCTAACTCACTGTGCCACCAGGGAGGGCCCGATAGTAATATTTAATACTTTCTTAATGAAGGAATTTTCACAAACCCTACATTTCCATGCAAATAGCTGCTCCAAGAAGACAGGTTGACAGCCAGAAAAGGCCCTGACAAAGACATAGAGTGTGACTCACCTAGGTTTACTCTACGCTACTTATCTTTCCTCTGAAAAATATCCTCAAAGTATCATGAGAACTAAATGAGAAAACATGCCACAAATGCTTCCAGTGCTTCATAGATACTCAATAAATGTTCCTTCTACTTCCCTGAAAGTTCCCGGGTTCTCCCTGAAATAATGAGTAAGTAAGAAGGAGAAGTAGGAGGAAGGGGCAGAGAAAGAGGGATGGGAATAGTGCCCCTTGGGAAGTTGCCTAGTTGATCAATCAGCACATCCATCTAGGAAACTAGCCACCATGTCTCAGAAAGAGGAGATGTCCTTTGACCTATGAGTGTTCAAGCCTGATTTTGACAATGGCTGTCATCACTTTCATTTCTCTATTTTTTAGCTCTCAACATCTCTGACATTTTTCTTCTTCTGCACATAAAAGACCATCATATCAAATCAAAAGTGTACCATAAGTATTGAATGACTATTACTGATAAAATTAGAGCTTTTTGAATTCTTAAGAAAAGTGAGTTTAACTTTCTATATCTGTGTTTCCCAAAAATAAAAATAACTGACAATTAACATGCATTTCTCATTTGTGGGATTACCACAAGATCTGACTCACCTATACATCCGTATTATCCCTGATAAAATAACAATACAATATACATTATCACTGTGGCTTACAACAAACTAGCAAGTTTCTTTGTTTTGTTTAACTAATGCTTTGCCTATGGAGTTCCAGAATGGATACTTGCCAAGAAATAGTTCTAAGGCTTCTGCTTTTCTATCATAGTCTGTTGGAGTTCCATTTCCTGTTTTAAACACACTTTTTGGTGTAGAGAGGAAAGTAGTTAAGTAAATATACTTTCTCTCTAGGAAGATTATAATCTCTACAAAACTTAGTGGTGTATCTTGACTCTAGAAAATGGTGCTTATCACATACTGACAGTTACTGACCAACATGTTCTTTATTTCAAAGGCACAACGGAAGAAAAATCTTAAGAAGAACTTAGTCCCACAAATAAACTTGGCTTCTTCCTTCTTCCCGTTCACACCAAACTGAAGAAAAAAAAGTTAGAAGTGGCTGCAGTGACCTGACCTGCACCTAGAACAGCGAAGTCTAAATGATACTCCATTCGTTATTTCAGAATAAAAATAAGAGTCTACTGGTCGCTGAAACCTTCACTCCATTATTTGTATGTGCTGTAGAGGCCCTCAACTGTATTGTTTAATTCGTTTATAGTTATTTTTGATCCATTAACTCTAATCGCAACAATCTGATATTTACAATCTTTATGTCTTCCTGTTTCACATGATCCATTGTTTTTCTTAATTCAGCAGCAATTGTTGTAACTATTACCTTGAACAGTTTTGCCGCATTGAGGCTTTTTGTAGTGGCTATTTGCTCAGTATTTGTAGTGTATAATTCTTTCTCTTCATTTTTAGCTTTTACAGCTTGTAATACAGCCACCCTCTCAGACTATAGCCTTTGCATGGTGGCTGAAGAATTAGTACTATCAAGAAGTATAGGTAGAAAAGAACTGAGCCTAGGGCTCTGATGTGAGCACCAAGTTTTCAAGCATCTGTGCTGCAGGTACCACTGTGGGGTATCCTCAGTGACCCCTGTGCTGCCTCACAGAGGGGCAGCATTGGGAGTAGTGTGGGATGAGGGAAAGATTACCCAAGTCTCATTGGAGCAATGAGAAGCCTAGAGGAGCAGCCCGCTCAAAGGCAAACACGTACCTTTACTGGAATCAAGTACAAGCTGGGCCAGCAGGTAGAGATGCGCTTGCCTGGAGGATGGTTACTGGGAATGTGAGCTGGGGTGGAGTGACCAGGGGCTACTGCCTGGGGGGAAGGGGGGCCCATTGTTCCTGCTGTTCAGAGCATATATTCTCCATTCTCTACTCTTGCCTAAATTCCGTTAATCCTTTCTAGTTAGACAATACCACTGGTTTTGCTCATCTGCCCATAAAATCAGCCTGCTTTTTTCAGCAGATACTGGTTTCCCAGTATGTTCCTCATATCAGGACTTTTGTCCTTGGTGAGAGGCCTCCTGCCTGATTATACTCCTAGCTGACCAGTGAGAACTTTGGGTACCACACAATAGCCCCCAAAACAAGGGGGTTTGGGGAAATCCCACGCCCCTTCTAGACCAATCCCTCCATCTAAATGACTTCCGGAGCTGTGTGCAGGCCACTTATGTGCAGGCTGCTGTATTTGCAGGGATGCTGAGACTGGGGCCTGCAGCACAAGCCGTGGGGCAGGACTGGCTCTCTCTCAGTGCTGGCTAAGAGGCAGGAGTAGTTCAAAAAGCATTGGTAGTTTTCCACCCTGCCCACAGGCTGCTGTGGGCACTGCACGAGATTACAGGTGACAGGCATTTTACCACCTGCCACCAGTGCCTTGCCAGGGCTTAGTTTGCAGTGGAGACCAGCAGTGATGGCGGAAGGCGGTGGTCCCCCTACCACACAGTCCCAGAAGGCGCAGCCCCAGGTTCAGGGGCCCCACCGGGCAGACCCCAGTGGTAGAGGTCCTGGGCCAACATGGTAGGTTCACAGTGACGCCCACCCTGGTGTGCTGCAGCAGGGCTCCCTCTTTCACACAGTCATATCCAGCCCCATGGAAGGGCTCCTGGGTGCAGAGGCCCTTCGTCCCCCTCCCCCCACCAAGGCCAGCTCTGGCTGTGGCTCCTTAAAGCTCACCAACCCATGAGTCTGCCCTGAGGTCAAGACAGGCCAATTTTGTACAAGCATCAGGATTTCCCTTTTATACTTGGTTTCTGGATCATAGAATGGGCTGATCAGGTGTGAGCTATGAGTTCATTGGTGCTAAATGGTCCCGTTGGTCATAGGAATGAAAGCAGTCCAATCAGACTTGTAGATGGGGGAGGAGGGCTGAGAAAAGATATAACGCAGGGCAGGAGGGCAGGGTCTAGCTTGGGATGCTTGACAGAACGCTCTCTGTCCGTGGCCTCCAAAGAAGAAAGCATCATCCAGCATTCACCCTCTGAGAAAGAACAGAAGCTGAGAAGCTTCACAGAAGAGCCAAAGATCTTCTCAGTGGCCAGGCAGGCCGAACCGACCTCTCAGCTGCCTCTGACACTTCCTGAAAGGATCACCAGGGGCCCTGGGCCAGGTGTGTCAAAGAACTGCTGGTTGTTGGTGTGGGCCAACGACTCACAAAGAGCTGTTACCAGTGTTTCTAATTCTGCCTCCTCATGGCTGGTGGTGACTGACCGCCAGCACCGTTGAAGGGTCACCAGCACTCTGCTGGCCTCACTGCTGAGAGCGGTGCCGCCCCTGATCATCCGGCACGGCCTCCTGTTTCCGCTGCTTATTGGCGGGTGCTGCGCATCCTGACCGTCGGAACGTTGCTGTGAACACCCCCAGCTGTGGTGAGTTAGGCCCTGGCCTGCAGCTCGCCAGAGCTCCGGACAGGCCAGTGGTGTCTTGAATGAGGGAGTTTTGTATGGAACTTTTAGACACCGTGACAATACGGGGGTGAGAGAGCAGGCCACAGGTGGCCTTAGACACTGTTTCGCCTTTTGTGAAATACACCCACTGTTGTTTCCTGAAACGGAGTGGTCCTCAGTTGTGCACACAGGGAGAACCCACAGTGACCTACACTCTTCTGGGCCCTGCCTTTGTGCAGCTATAGCACCTCTACAGCCCTTCTATAGCTGTTTCAGTGTATACAGCGTGTACTTCAGAAAGAACCATGAGCCAGGTGTTGTTCTTTTGGTCCAGTAGAGTCTTAATCTGGAGTATTTGTTCTCATTGTTAAGCTACAGGTACTTAAATTCTGGTTAGCAAAAGCATTTAGTTTTCTCAGTTTGAGCCCCGGCTGGGAGCTGCCTTGGGCTACAGACAATAGCCTTATTGATAAAGAGTCACAGCTGATTCAACTTGGCTCATCCTGGTTTGGACTCCAGCCACCCCATATTGGAAGCCTAAGTCCCATCAGTGATTATTTCTCTATATTCTTGCTCTTAAGGCTCTTCACCCTCTTTACTGGAAGCCAAATCTATGTAACCCCTTGTCTAGTCCAGGCCGTGTCTCCAACATCCCCAACTGGAGAGTATTTCCCTGAGTCAACAAGCGTAGACAGACTCTGTGTGACAGCCATGACACTCATGAGTTACACTACTCAGCCCTAGGAACACAGTTCACTTCAGTTGTTCCTCCCCTCCTCCCAGACTGTTGATCCAGGTGTATGCTGTAGTTTCCATTGCCCTGTCAAGGGTTATTGACTCTCCTACCGCAACCTAGTTATCAATATATGGAGGAGGCAAGGCAGGTGGCCTCATGCGCCACCCTCAGCTGGGCCCCCAACTAACCTTTAAACCTAAACAGCAAGCAGCTGGTCCCAATGCCCTCTGTATTCACTGAACAATCAACTACTGTTTTGGTTTGTCTTGTTAGTTTTTATATAGACCCATAGATTCCTACCAATGCCTAAACTGACTTTTGTAGTTTTGACCCTCTGAGAGCCAGAGATACTATTTCCAATGAAATGCAAAAACTGATTTGGTGATACAAGGTTTCATTGGGGACATACATTTAAGGAGTTGAGGCTGTGACCAAGAATAAAACTTCACAGGGAAAAGACATAAAATACAAAGAGAAAAGGGAAGTGGGGAAAGAGGGCAAAAATCTAAGCAGTCTTTGACATCAGGGGTTTGGTGGATGAAGAGCTGTTAGTCAACAAGACTGCCAATAGGTGGGGAATTTATTTTGCCTAAAGAAAATTAAATTGAAATTAAATGACGTAGCTTGCAGTATGTTTATCTTGGAATTTTACTAACAGTTTTTTTTTCTTTTTCCCATGCCATTTGTGTTTGGGTAAATGCTCCACAGAAGAGGCAATCTGAGGTGAACTGCTTAAGTCTTTAAACATTGGATAGAGGTGTTTGAGGGTGAAGCAGGTAAGAAATAAACCTATTCATTTACCTATGAGGGTCTAGCAATCTTCCAAGAGAACATGAAAGCTTGCTGCAGCTGGGAGGCCCGGAGACTCCAGGGGGGAAAAACCTTGGGCACCTCAAAAGGAGGGAGGGACTCTAAGGTTCAAAAACTGCTGGTGGGGTTTGATGAGACCATCATATGGCACGGCTTCAGAGGTCTGGACAGGCCAAATTTTGAAAGCTCAGTTTAAGATCCTTTACAGAAAGTTCTAACAAAGTCAATAGAAATCCTTCTTGGTTGTGCTCTCGAGTTTACGCAAAAACAGATCAAACTGATTGGAGTTAGATTTAGTTAAATGCTTTTGGCTGTTCTACTTGATAGAGCTGGGGTGCAGGAAGTAAGAAAATGATCATTTTTGAGAGCTTTTTTTCCTTTTTTGGCTTGGACGGATGGACTGCACTATTTTCCAGAAATGGAGGTCTGGCCACACATACACTGGCCCAACACATGGACAATGTCTTGTGACCGAGTGTTATTTCCTTTGAGTACAATGCAAGCCCAGTGAAACTGCCTTCTGAGGCCACATGCCAGCATCTACCTTTCATCACCACAGAAATGGTGACAAAAACTCTAAGTGGGAAATGTGTAAGCGGAGCGGTGACAAGTCCCCAATCCAGTGGAAGATGCTTATAGCCAACTCGGTGATAGAACTGAAGCTTCCCAGACTCCACCCCTTGAGTGCATGCTGATGGGATAAAGAGGGGGAGCTGAGGGTTTTGGCAGGTAAAAAGCTTTTGGAAACTTGGAAGCTGATCTACTAGCACCTTATCAGTTAAATCACTGGTGAGGAGGGGTGTTTTTCTATAGAGAAACCATCAGTGTATCACATGCAGCTTAGAGTTGGACTCAGTTTCTGCCCTGTGGATGTGATCTGGGCTGGGACAGATGGCACCTGTCTATGTGCCAACCTATGAACCCCCCATCTCTCTCTCAGTTCTCCCTCTCTCTCTCAGTTCTCTTTCTCTCTCTGTTCTCCCTATTATTGTAAATAAATCTTATGATTGTTGCTGCTCACAGTGCTTTTGCTTTCGGAGTGTGTCCTGCATTCTTAAGTCATAGGTTGGCCATTAGGTCTCTAAATTTTGTCTTCTTTTAAGAGGTTGGTTAATTTCAAGGTAATTTTTTTTTTTAGATTTATTTATTTATACCTGTACAGGCCAGAGTTACAGGGGTGGTGAGAGTCTTCACCAGAGACAGAGCGGGGAGCAGAACAGGCAGATCATGAAGTCCACTGCTGAGGGGAGCAGCGGGCGGGTCAGGAGAGGTCTGCCGCGCCCTGTGGGTCACCTCCAGGGCAGGTGGGGATCGAACTCATGCGGAAGCGGCTTTAGCTTCTCAGTGCTGTGCTTTAACCCGCTGCACCACCAGGGAGGGCCTCAAGGTAATCTTTTTATACAAGTAATCAAATGTTAGTCAAGGACATACAGTAATGCACCATTTAACATGGGTTTATGTTCTAAGAAGGCATCCACTAGGATATTTTGTCATAGAGCAAAACAATCCAGGTCATAAAAAATTTCCTTGAGTGTGATACAGGCAAAATGTTAGTACCATTGTTTTCAGTGAGGCACATACTTTAACTTCCATCATGTCTTTTGTTCTACAAGGCTATGTCTATGATGGATGACGTGTACTGGTGGCCAGTAACCATCACGGATTTCACACTTTCGTAGTTCTTAATCACATTTAATTTTGTTTCTCGATCATTCTATGTTGGCTCTTACTGGTAATAATGCCAGTGGATTTTGTATGCTAAGGATCCATGGTAGATAAAAGAACATAGGACCATTTTCTCTGTACTTGATTTAATCTTAGCAAGAGATTCAGTAAACACAATATATGAGAGTTTTGCCAGAGTTAATAAACACAAAGATGATTATGATGTCACTAAGCAATATGAGTTTTTGGACCACTGTTGTATATATAGGGTCAGATCATTGGCCAAAGTCTCATTATAGAGCAAATCACTGAGGAAGAAATCATGTTGATGGTAGATAAACATCTTCATCTTTTTCATTTCAAATATAAGTATTGCAGGATTAACTTTTTCTTTTACCCATTGCTTTGTCAAAAGCTCTGGATTCAAAAAAGGAATTCCAAGTAAAATAACCGAGAAATTATACATTTGAATGGGGATGAAAATAAGAACTCTATCAAATATATATATATTTTATTATTCTTTAATAATTTTCTGGATAAATAATAATCATGTTGTTAAAGAGACTATTTTCCCATGAATCACTGTTTAGAACAAACATGGCTTATTAAAACCTTGGGATTTGACAATATAGAAAAGAGCTTTACTTTTCTGCTTCACTTTTATTACTTTGGTCACTGTCCTACTGACTGCATCTTCATAATCAACCATGTTTGAGACTTTTACATGATTCAGTTGACCTGTTGTGTAAGAAAGAAACAAAGTGATTTCATTAAACTCTTAAAAATAATGTTTATTGCTGACACAACTATGGCATGCAATTCAAGAATAAGTAAACTCTAAAAATCTGAAGTGGAATAAAGTGTGGATTCAGATTTATGTTTATATTGCATAAGTAGGTATTTAATTTATAAATAAAACAAATATTCCTACCCTCTCACTATAGCATTAATAACCTTTTTCAAAAAGAAAATCTTTAGGATTTAATACTGGCATTTGAAAACTGGAAAATAAAATCAGTTCATTTTGTAGCTCTCTGGAATGCTCCCTGAGTACCTTCTACATTTCTAGTTTCATCAAATAACTCTAAACACTGTACTTAAGTAAGACCCATTTGTGCAGTTAACATGTCAGCTAGGAAGAATTTTTTAAACTGAGGCATTAAAATAAATTTTATTATAACTTTTATTATGAATTTTAATCAACAAGTGTGATCAGTGTCTTCCTAGCTGATCTGGAGTCTTACTTTTTGGAAGTGAAAGAAATTTTAGTCATTGAACTTTAATAAAATTTAGAATGACTGAACCACTATATAGTGTGGTGTGAAAGGAGTGTCCCAATTTTAAAGTGCTTTTTTTTTTTCAGTAATACAGAAATTGCAAGTTAAATTTAATTGCCAGTTGACAAATATGTTCTACTAGTAAATTAAATATAATGATGGAAACATGGTTTTGACCCTAGTTTTGGTTACAGAGAAATCATGTAGTTGCTACTTCAGAATCTTCACATCACCTGCTAATGAGATTGGAAATTTGTTCTAGAGACTCCATGGTCCTTGCAGGGAGACATGTCCCGTGTTATGGATGTAAGTGATCCAGTCCCAAGGTCTTCTCAAGTAATGTGTGGGTCTCAGTGACGTGGAGCGCATCAGAAGGTAGGTACCACCGAGGGTTATCAATGTCCCAAAGAAAAAAAGCCCTTTATTTATTACCTGGAAAGACAACAAGAATTCTCCTTTCATTTTCCAAGAGATGAAAGTCTTGAAATAGACTTCATATTTGAATGAAGCTGTCTACAATTTAATTACAGTTACCAATTTAATTACATAACTACTAGGAAAAGACTTCAATGAATTGCAAGGTCAAGAATCCAGAGCTTCCTTTTTCTAGCTTTTCCCAGAAACACCTTATCCTGTGTTCTGATTAAGGAATTCTTAGTCATCTTTTGTATGGCCAAGAGGGATAAAAGGATTTTATAAAAACAAGGTCATAGCTACAAACTCCATCTTATATCTCTGTGCAGAAGCTTCAATGATGCAGTCACAGTTTATACCTGGCACAAAATCTCTAAGAAAAGAGCGATAGGTCTAATGACCTCTGTGACTCAGAGATTATACACCCAAAGACATTAAACAGAATATCTTTGCCACCTCTAGTAGACCAGCAGCACCTGTTTATTCTAGTCCTGGTCAGTCTAATTCTTTATCCTCCTGACCACTTTCTCTCATTGCACTTAGTGTCCTGCATTCTAACTGCCTGTCACCATCTCTTCTCACCCCATTGGTTCCTCTAGGGTAAGGACCTCAGTTTATTCATCTTTGTATGAACAGATCTTGATCCTTCCAATTTATTCTCCACATAGAAAGGTAATCTTTTTAAAACCTGCTTCTGGGTCTGAGCCCCCTTCAGTCTTCCTGTTTCCTCCAAGATAATATTGAGGATGATTGACATTCTGCTTACTGTTACATTTCTGCCTCTGGCTATTCCCACAGATGTGTTCTAGCTTCCAACTCCACTGAATATTAGCTATTCTCACACTGGATGTGTGAGAGGTGTTTCTAGTGTCCACCTGTCCAAGTCCATCCATGTTCTCTGCCAGGAGCCTCTCCTCTGCCGCTCCATTTCCATTGCCCACCCTTACCCCACCCCCCACTGCAATCTGATGGACATGAAGGGCAGGGGCAGCTTCTTGTTCATGACCGTGCTCCCTTCAGTGGCTGCACACTAAATAGAATTAGTTGTTGAATAAATGAAGTTGTAAAATTTCCAAAACAGACATCAGGAACCTGAATGTCCACTTACTGGTATCTCTGGTTAACCATTCAAAACGAATGTGGCATAGACTTTGTCTTATAAGAGATTCAGTTCTGTCCAGTTTTAAAAATTAAACCAATAAAAGTATTCCATGAAACAAGTCAATTGCAAAATAAAATGAAAAAGTCACATCGCTAAAATAAACTAATATTAGCATTAGTTTAAAAGAAATTCTTCCTTTCAAAAGCTCTTTGGCTTGCCATTCTAATTTTGCGCCTCAGGCCTCTGCCTGTGCACACCTTAGGCATGATCATTTGGATATTTTAATTTATAGAGCATATATTGGGTGTTTACAATATCATTTCTGTGTTTGCCTGAAGTAAATATAAACATCACGCATTATCTTTAACATATCAGCATTTTTTAAGCGTAAACTGTTCCAACCTTCTTTTGCCAGTGCCAGCGTATCACTGCTTCATGGTATCTTATTCTCGAAAAGGTCACCTATAAGGAAGTTTAGAAAGTATTGTTATCTGGTCTGTAATGACAAGAAATAGCAAAATGAGGAAAAGTTTTAAATCTTAATCTTACCATGGTATAAAGAGGAATAAAGGTAGATGGCATAATAGCATAGAGAAATCTATCTATGTTCTTTTGGAAGATGAACCATCTTGAGTTGACATGCGCTCTCATCTGCAAAAAGGCAAAGCCTTAAAGAATGTCTTGAACAAAGTACCTTTATTTCTTCACCATAAAATTACTGCTCTTCACCTTCATTCATCACAACCTCAGATTAAATTTATTCATTAAATTCTTGTTTCCATAACAGCTAGTCCCAAACGTTTTCAGTCCTGTAGGGTATTACTTGAAAATGTAGTGCAATAACACAGATTGAGTTTATGAACTCTATTTTGCTCAGGTAATATGGGAGTTCTATTTCAGCAAAGGATTTGTTCAATTATAACTAAAGGTAATTTGAGAATTCAAAGATGTGACTAATGTCTGCTGTTCCTTGGTGGGTTTAAAACATTGTTTATAGTATACTTTAAATAAATGCCATATGCTTCAAGGTATTCCAGCTTGACCTATGCCAAATTCAGGACAAAGTTTGTGTGGTTGCTTCCATGTTTTAAAATAATCTGATTGTATAGCTAAGGCTATCAAGAGTTGAAGAGGAGAGTGGTGGGCAAAGAGAGGAGGCAACCCAATGGCCAGTGGTAGAGGATGGTGGTGCCATGGTGGTGGGTGTGGTGTGATCTACATCTGAAGAGTTATGAACTTATACCAGTGAATCATACAGAGTGTGGTAAACCAACATTACCTTACCAGGAAACACAAATAAATAAAAACTCAGCAGCAAAGAGAGAAAATAATGCAGCCAAGATACATGGATGTTGAAATGAAGACTCAATATTTTATAGAACTTTCCTCACTACATATGAAGCAATTCTGCTTAAATGGAAAGTCACTTTGTGATTTTCTTTCTTCAGGAGAGACTGAAAACAACTTAAATCTATTTGAATTCTTCTTGCAAATGTTTTAATATGATTAGTTAAAAACTATACAAGAAATTATCATGAGTTTTTTATGTGACTGATTCAGGCCCAATTCTGTTTTTCTCCAGAGCACCAATGATTTGATCATGAATTTCTGTATAGCTTACTCCAATACACAAGGCCCAAAGGATTTTCAAAGTTACTGAGTTTGCTGTTTAAGATGTTGAGAGTGAAGAAGTCCTTTAACACTTCTGATATTATTCAAGTATGTTAGCACTCTCAATTGAAATAGCATGTTGCTAACTCTAACTAGCTAAGACGGGTATAAATTATCAGAGATTTACACTAGATATTTTTTATCTTTGTTATCTTCTAAGTGCCTCTGAAATGTACGAAGAGATGATGCACAAGACTCATTGTTACAACACAGTTATGATCCAATCAAGTATAAAAAATGTGTAAGGGAGAGTAGAGCAAAGAAAAACTAAAGAAAAATAGTATCTGTTAACAATCGCATGGAATGAAGTCAAATCTCCTCACTCACCTCAATGTAATTGTACATGGATAAATCTGATATCGCGTGGTCATCTGGAATCCTAAATCTTGAAAACTCAGGAAGACAAAGACCTGGAAATCAGGTTAAACAATTCATCTTTTCCAAACAGTTTAAAAATTGTGCTGGACTTTACGTAGGTCAGATTAAGCAGTATATTCCTACAAATGGTCCTCTAGTCACCTAAATATCTGGCAAAACCAGTGAAAATAGAGCCTATCCCTCCTCCTGTGACAATGACAGTTTTTTTTTTTCCTTTCCATTCTACTGTCTGGTTTCTCATAAATTCAAAGGAACATAACAGTATAGTTTTTGTTGTATTGATTTTACAACCTTGAAAGAGTTTTTAATCTGAAAAAAGTAAATCTTTGTTAACAAGTTTTTCTTTCTCCACAAATAATTCTAAGCTACAGGATCTTAGTCAGAAAGGAAAATAGCCCTTCCACTAATGTGAAGTGGTTAAGCTCAAACTTGCTGATTTCTAACTTTCTAAAAGTATAAATTTAAGAGTTGTATATTTTTAGACACAATATTTCAGAGATTATTAATATAATATTTCAGAGATTATAAATATAATAAATATAATAAATATAATATTTCAGAGATTATGTGAAATTATGATTCACTTATATGTGCTTATTAAAGGGGAAAATGAGCCAATTATGTGCTTTATCTTCATGCTACAAGACAAGGAAGAATTACAATGAAAATAAGGGGAAAGGCAGAGATTTGCAAGGAAGCCTTAATTGTTTAATAATAGATATGTTTTTCCTCTCTGGGTGCTCCTTGTCTGACATGGATAACCATAGTGGCACTGAACTCTTGAGAGAAAAGTGTACAGATACAAAGAAATATTCACCATGAGTGTGTGATATCTCAGGAAAAGAAATCAGTCTACAATTACTAAGTAGGGCTAATCTCTATCCAGTTGAGAAATGTTACTTACTAAGGTCATTATTGAATTTATCCATTAGCTCATCAAACACCAAGCAGTCTTCAAAACCCTGAAACATAGGGCAATGAAATGAAATGAAATGAAATGAAAAAATAAACCAGAAATAATAAAAGATTCTTAACAATTTTGCAAAGACTTTCCATTGGTGAGTAATGTTCATAAGCTGTTTATGCTCAGCTAGCACAGAGTTGAGTGGCACATTTGGCATTGACTTATAAGAGGTTACCAACTGCAGGACACTGTCTTCTCCCAGTTCATATGCACATGTATGCACAACATTTAACTATGTAAGTGATGGCTTGTAATTTGACCAAAATTTTAAATTACAGTTAAAATTTTGATGAATTCCAATGCTTCTTCAAGAAACAAGAATAATTATATCTCTTATAAATTTTACAATTACATAAAAACTACCCAGTTCTTTATGATCCACATTTAGAGTAATTTAATGACAGGATAGAATTCTCATATTAATTTAGCTTCTAAAAGTAAAGATTAAAGAAAATTTCTAATATCCAGAAGCCCGTAAAAAGTCATTAAGATACTGTGCTATATGCAGTGGGAAAGGGAATATAAAATCTGTTTTCTACTTTCTAGAAATTCAAACTAGAGTTTTAGAGGCAATAAAATATAAATGTATGTAAAAGTTAAAAGACAAAATCTTCATTGTCTCAGTAACAAAGATTACATATAAAACAAGTTTACTTATCATTTATATATACTATTAATGCTGTAGGAATTTAGACATGAGATACCATTAGGCTGAGACAACACTTTCAGTCTTTAATTCTTTCCTACTCCAAGAATCTCTTGGTGTAGGTATTACTAAAAAATCCAATTTACAGGTAAGGAAATAAAGATAAATTTACTTCTGCAAACACATATTTCAGTAAATTCTGAGCCAAGATTTGATCTATGTTTCTAACAACAGAATGCCATCTCAGGTTTTTGGGCACTTTTTTATATTATTGAATCAAGCTCCCCAAGATGATTATAGCTAGTGATCGAGCTGATTAAACAGCTGATAAGATTGTTGAATTAGGGATTTCACAGAGATTTTGTGAGCATGTTCAGTTATGTCTTTTTATTTAAAATTGTATCGTTAACTCTGATGTTAAATATTTCGGAAGCAAACCCAGGGAAAATGAACTGACCGCATTCATCCCTTGCCCAAAAAAGGGCACTATGGCGTGGGCTGCATCTCCCATCAGCACACAGTGTGACTTGAAATGAAACGACGAGCACTTTACAGAGATCATGGGCTGGGCCGGTAACAGGAAGAAATCCTTCTTCAGGGCTTCCCTTCAGAGGAAGATAATGCAAAGATGTTAAACTGAAATTAAATATCACATAATTCTTTTGGGTTTATTGACTTTAGTATCAGATATCATAGGAAAATACACAGACATACCAGGAAGAAAAATGAGCTTCTTCCATCCCCCAGATTCATTGTTTTAAACACCTCTGTGTGAACAATGATAAATCATATCCCAAAAGAACAAGTTTGCCTGCATTTGCTATCTTGAAGTATATGTCTGTGCTCTATGTCCTGAAAATTTCATCATCTATGCATAGATCATGCAGTATCAAATCTGTTGGTATGTTTTGGTTTCCATGGAATAATTAAGATGCTGCTATGCAATTGATTAAACTGAAACAAATCAAAATTAATATGAATTTATTTATGTTGTTTGGAAGTGGATGATTGTAATCATAGTAGCTTTCAAGCATGTTTTTTATTTTATTTATTACAAAGTTTACTTTTACATCATTTTGCACATTTTTCTTTTTCCATCTCGATTGTAATCCCTGCGGGTTTCCCATCACCAAATCACCCCTGTGCCACCACCATAGTCCCGTGCATTTCCCTCCCTTCCCCCCACCCCCCGTTTTTGATCCCATTCCCCACTCCACCCCCACAGAATGTCTCTGGTATATGGTTGTTCATTATTTTTGTTATTTTCTCTCCTGGTCCATTATACTCCTGCTATGAGTGAAACCATCCGGTATTTTTCTTTCTCTTTCTGGCTTAAGCTTTCAAGCATTTTACGGAAGTTTGCAGAAGCTATAAGTAGGGAAATAATATATACCCAAGGATCTTAAATATGACTAAAGAGCCAAAAGCAGCCACAGAACAAGTTTTAACAGTACACAAGAGCTAACTGTGGGTGTGCAGATTTTTTCCTTCAAGATTCCCGTCAAGGAGAGATTAGAGCAGGTAACGGGATTAAGCTACAGGAAAGGACAAGACACAATGTTTGACAGACCTGCTTGTAACTGGCAGGGAGCTGGCCCTTAAACGGGCTTCAGCCACTTCATTTCCATAACAGCCCTACAAGGCTGTCATCCTCTTGCTTGTTCTAAAGATGAAAAATCTGACATCCAAGGAAGTGAGGAACAGAAACAGTATGAAAATCTGGCTTCCATGTTGGAGGCCGAAACTAAGTTGGGCTCAGGAGAAGGGAGGACCCCGGAAGCAGAGGCAGGAAGAATGAGACTAAGTGAAAGGCCCATTCACAGGGTGAGGATAAGACCCAGACAGACTCAGGTCTTGATCTAAGGCATCTAATTAAGTGTCAGGTCAGAAGAACATTACATGTGTCAGGCCCCACACTGAATAATTTATAAGCGCAATCTTAACTTTTCACAACCATTTGAGGCAGGTTTTATTAAAAAAAATTTTATTAAAGTAACATTGCACTGTAGCATTCTATAACTTTCAGGTTGCATCATTATATACTACATAGTATATAGTCATATACTATGTAGTATATATGTCTGTACATACTACATTGTGTGATGTTTTAAGGAAATATTTCCTCTTATATTTTTGTGCTTTGCTAAAGCCCTCTGAGAAAAATGTTATCTTTTGATGAAACTTTTCATTTATTCATTTTATTATTTATTGCCATTTTACTATGAGGAGCCGGAAACATAGCTCACCAAGCTAGCGTGTGCAGACCTGAGACTTGAGGCTGTGCGCTGTCTTCTGTGCCACAGATTTATATATCCACCAGCAGACGCCAGCATAGCCAGCTCTGTGCCACTCAAACCCGAGGGGCCTACGGGCACTTACAGACATAGGGACTTGGGTGACTCCCAGGGAAACCGGCTGTGGCGTTTTCATAGCTCCTGCTCCCAACACCACACCCACTTACACTTTGCTTTCAATACAGCCTTCTTGTCTAGGTCGCTGAATGACATTTAACCAAAACTGAAATGGGGCATATGACCTTTACTTAAATTTTGAATAACTGAAAAAAAAAATCAATGGAACACAAGATATATTACACATCTTAAAACTTACGCTCCCATTAGAGGAATGGCATCTGGAAAGTACTTCTGGAAGAAATCCAGCACATCACTACCAGTGTGAAGTTTCTCGAATTCTTCAAAGGGCATGAACAAAGTACAGGTGAAAGATTTGTTCTATAAGAAGAAAAGAAAAGCCATGAAAGAGAACAGGGAACAGGGCGTCGGCAGCACTGAAGATGGAACCCTAACTCACTGTCTTCTTGCTGTAGCAAGGGGGCATCTAGAAAGAATGTTCACGAAAACAGGAGGCCAGCCTTGCTTTCTTCTCTTGCTCCTGCAGAAAACCTCTACCACATCCCAGCATTATTTCCTGGCATCCTTGATTGTAGAGAATGTCCACAACATACACTGCAGCATTTTCAGCACCTCTTAGATTACCACTAAACTGGTTGGGTTTCATTTGATCTCTTTTTCTCTCTACTGTTGTGTAGCATTACTAAATTTAAAATCTAAGGCATCAGTCCTCGCCCAGCAAGCAAGTTTGAATGAAGCTTGAATGAATAAAGAGAGTGGATGGGACTGCATGGAATTGGTCGTTCAGTTGATGATCTGAAGAGATGCTGATCCATGATGCTAATTCAGGTCTTCAGGACACAGCCCAGACTACTGGTGCTAAGCAGTCCCCCTGGACAGCACACCTCTCCTCTGCTGCCCACTGCTCCTTTTAATAGTGTCTTTCAATGAGCCTGTGTCTTCTGTTCTCCACTGTCTCTGGCAAGCTCTTTCACTCGGGTGCCTCTGGCCTACACCCTAAGTCTTCCTTGCAACATCTATTACTCCTTTTAAGGTAATCTCACGGGACGTTGGACCCTAAAACTATCAAGAAAAAGACTAATGAGAAAAATAGTTACACCTATATAGCAAACTAGTTTCTAGTGACCACCCTTGCCCTTTCTGTATAATGTATATTCCAGCATCCTAGAGACCTTAAAGACAAGTTTTATGTAGAGAATATTTCTTACTAGACTGCCTGGGGGCAGACAGCAGACACCACCAAAATTAAACTCTTTTTAGAGACCATTTCTTACTAGACTGTCTTGGGGAAGACAGTAGACACCACCAAAATTAAACTCTTTTTAGTTATTCTTGCATGTTAAACGTCCTCCAGGTTTTTCCTCGGTCATCACAAAGTGTCAAAGTTATAATCGTGAAATAGAATAAGCAGTGACATTAGGTTTATACATAGCAAGTAGAAAAGTAATTAGGCAAGTTACTAAGTACTAAAGTAAAAAATTACAGAGTACAAAGATTAGTAATAAAAACTAACTGGTTTTTACTACTAACTAAACATGAAATTCTATATTACCTTGTTAGGAAGTGCAATCATCATAAAAGTATTTCTAGGCCAAATATGCAGGTAATTAGGTTCCATGGCATACTGAGGAAATAAGAAGGGATATAAATGTTTGATTAGTGTATTAGTGAAGCATATCTATAGAGCTGACTCTGCATATGTTACCATTGTCTCTATAATAATTTAAATAACATCAAGTGCATAGTTAGTGATAAGTCATATCTATTGCTGTATAAGACAAAAGATAAAGTCTTATAAATACTTTGTGTTCTTACACAAAGTTTATAAACTCAAGCTTAGGTCAATTTTACATATACTCTTCCTCCTTTTCTATTTATGTCCATGTACACACAAAAACATATGTGTGTGGATAAATATGACACATAAATTATATATTTGTGCTTGTATGTAGGTGATAAATTTATACTTCATTTTTCACCTTACTTTGGACAGGAAGATCCCACATTTACTGTTCATGGACAAAACAAAATTTTATAAGCAAGACGCATTACTTATTTCCTACAACATAAATAGTAAATAAGTATAAAATAACTAGCTATACCAAATCTACACTAACGTTCATGATTTCACTAAAGTCTGGAAAAAACTTCTCAACAGGATCTTGTTATTTTATTACCCAGTATTATCAACTCCTGGGCCATGGGAAGAAGACTTACCTGAAAACATAAAATCAACATTAAAATATTAGTAAATAAATTTGCAAACAGGAGAAAGAAATAGACAATGACTTACATGTTAAAATACAGATTTGATTGGCTGATACAATTTGGCATATATCTGGTATATAAATATCACCATTCCAATCTTACTAGCTATTTTATAGATATTTCAATTTCAGATAGATTCAATTGACAACTTCAAAATGGATGCTTCCTATGCAAATCATGTAGCTTTGTTTATCCTGACAAGTTCTTTCTTGCTTCTGTGGGAATTTTACTTTTCCTTCAGTTACTACAATTATTTGCTTATGACAATATAAATTATGCCTGCAATGCATTTATTTCAGACCACATGTGGTATAACATGGAAATGGGAAATGAGAAAATGCAACAAATCTTTCCAAACACTTGCTATTTGCTTTATTTAAGATCTACTATTTGATTTACCATCAACATAAGAACTTTGGATTGTCAGTATATGAACTGATTCCCAAACAATTCCCATTGTTTTCTTCTAAGAGGAATTAAAAAATGACATTATTATGTGAGCAAAGCCCCAATGTACTTCAGTAGGGTCATTGTAATTCCTCTCATTTCCTTCCCACTCAAGAAAACATATGGAAAGGTAAAGAAATAAGAGCAATATTATTAAGGGAGTGCCTGTACTCATATTATTTATTACAGAGCATGTGTGCCAGACCTCAAAACTGAGACTTGCTATTGAAAATGTGTGCAGTTGACTATGCTTCTTCTGTAGAATTATGGAAAGCAGATAAGAAAAGGAAAAGGGAAGCCTTACATCGCCACCCTTGGGGGGAATATTCAACTCCATATATCCATGAGGGATGAACTGCTGACTGTAATCAAAGCGAGGCTTCTTCATCAGGTGAGTTCTGACTGTTGAATAGGCTCCGTCACATCCTACAATGAGGTCATAGGCAATATCTTTGGGAGCTTTGTCATATCTGAAAAATAAAGTGAACCATCTAAAAAAGAAAGTTTTTTTTTCTTTTTTTTATTACAAAGTTTATTTTTTAAAAAAGAAAGTTTAATGGTGAAAATGGTGAGGTGTCTACTTGTGTAGAACACGAAATGGCAAACGGGGCCTCTACTCGCTTTTATAAATCTGATTTGGAACTTTGAATCTGTTGCTATAAAACAAAGATGATAACACCTGTTCCCGTCACAGGTTTGTTTATGAGAATGAGAAAAACAAAAACCAACTTGACTAACGAAGACACACTAATCCATGGAATTTTTTTTTTTTTTTAAAGATTTATTTATTTATTCGTACAGAACTGGGGTACAGGCCAGAGATGCGAAGGGTGAGAGGATTCACCAGAGACAGAGCGGGAAGCAGAACAGGCAGATCGACAAAGTCCACTGCTGAGGGGAGCAGCGGGCGGGTCAGGAGAGGTCTGCCTCGCCATGTGGTCGCCTCCGGGGCAGGCGGGAATCGAACTCATGCGGAAGTGGCTCCAGTTTCTTAGTGCAGTGCTTTAACCCGCTGCGCCACCAGGGAGGGCCAATCCATGGAATTTTTACTGAAAGTTAAATTTCTTGCACAAAGGAAGAAAATCCCGAAAAGACGGCAGAGGTTTCCAAATAGAGGGAATGTATGAACAACTGAGAATTTTGAGGAACACTATGTTTGGCTTGAGTGGAAGATATCAGAAGATAGCAAGGAATGACAGTAGGAAAGAGAAGATAATTTTGAATATTAAAACAAAATATTGAAATCTTCCCCATTGAAAGGATGATACGTGATGATTCAGGCAATCTATCTTTGCTGTGACCCTTCTAACTGGAGACAGACTGCAAAAACAAGGGGAAAGGAAGGAGGTGAGTGCAGACGCCAGTGCCGGAGAAGAGGTCAGCCACTGTGGTGGTCAGAAAGAGGGAAGACCCGCGGGCTCTGAGAGTGGAAGTGGGGGACAGGAAGACTGGGGTCTGCTTTATAGAGCTGATGGCGTAAGCGAGGGAGAAGAGTCATCCAGAAGGATTTCCAGTTACTGGGGAAGTCAGGAGTGAGACGCTGGGTGATCTACAAAGAGGTGATCCAGTTTTAATGTGTTTGAGATTTGCAAGAGGCACCTGTAACGCGTTTCATGATGCGCTGACATTGATTAGGATTCCAGTAGCAATGAGAGAGGACGAAGAGGACCCAGCTAAAGAGGCTCATTTGAGAGTTGTGAATTTGCAAGTGGTGGTTGAATGTACTGGCAATCCATGCCATATCCCAAGAGTGGGATATAAGCCTTGGAACTTGAGAGGAAAAACAATCAAAGGGAGCCAGACAGAGATGAGAAGAGAAGCGGGGCTGGGAGGGTCACACATTTCAAGGGAGGAGCATTGAGCAGCTGTAGACACCGGGCCCAATACAGGGGAGGCAAATTGGCATGAGAATCAAGAAGCATCAGCTGGCTCTGGTATCAGGACACAGCTAAGGCCTGATTTAATTTTCAATCTAAAATTCTTTGACTCCGGAAACTAGTTGAAATACCATTTTAGTAATCTTTTAACTCAAAGAGCCAAAGAACAAAGTTTATAGATACAGCCCTCCACTCTAAACCTTCACCTCTGATATCAAAATGGGTGATTGATTACCCAAGCACGGTGATCATTCCTTCCTCAGCATTACATTTCAACAGCCTGTGGCCAAAGTGCAGCTTCACATTGGGATATTTCTCAACAGCTGGGGGGAAAAGAAGGAAAACAAATATAACTGAAATTCTAATTCTTATTTCCTTAAACTGAAATAGTCTACATTTTCTGACACTATGTAGAAACATTTATTCTTAGCAATGTAAATATAAAATACTTAAAATGATAATATGCAACTACTTGACAAATGTTTCAGGATGATTTGGCAGTAAAGTATGAATAAAAATATAAAATTTAAAACTGCACATATCACTGATAAGGGTAGCCACATACTAGTGTGTTCTGAAAGATGGGCAGTGCAGACTTACAGAACGAAGACCCTGAGGAGGATTGTAAGAAAAAACAACTTTTAAAACACCTTTGATCGGCCCTCCCTGGTGGCACAGCGGGTCACAGCACAGCACTGAGAAGCTAAAGCCGCTTCCGCATGAGTTCGATCCCGGCCTGCCCCAGAGGTGACCACAGGGCGCGGCAGACCTCTCCTGACCCGCCCACTGCTCCCCTCAGCAGTGGACTTCCTCGATCTGCCTGTTCTGCTCCCCACTCTGTCTCTGGTGAAGCCTCTCACCGCCCCGAGCCTCTGGCTGTACCCCAGTTCTGTATGCATAAATAAAGAAATCTTAAAAAATAAAAACAAAACACCTTTGATCATGACATTTCAAACTTCTTGGCCACATAACCCTTTTAGTGTTTGTTTTGCTTAACAATGATTAACCTTCTGTGGGGTGGTGACCCATGAAACAATCCCACATGAAATGCTGATGCAGTAAATTGATTTAGTTACAAATTTTGCAAGTTCAGAGAAACTTCAGTCAGGAGTAAAGAGCATTTACAATGGATTGAGTATGGGAACAGGCTGGTCATTCCTCTCAGGCTGTGGGAAGAACTAAGCGTTTTGCACGCCAAAGTTTAGGAAGATTTCAAGAGATTCTATATTCCTATTTTAACATGTTTGTGGCATTTATTAAATTGCTGTCTGAGCAGTACATTCCTAACACAAAATCAGGGGAACTTGTGTTATATACACCAAGATCGGCTCTTCCCCATGTTTTTACTCCTGAGTATTAGCAGATATTCAGAGACAATATTTGAGATAGTGACTATAGTAGTTAAAAGCATGGAATTTGGAATAAACTAACTAAAGATCAATTGTATATTATACCACTTACTAACACTGAATTTTACACCATGTTGGTCTCAAAATCTCATTTAATCTCTGGAAAGGATATGAAAGTCATTCTCAGCTTAAGTGATGCAAAGAAAGCATTTAAAGTAGTGCCTGGTGGGTCAAGAAATGTTTGCTATTATTTTTATTTTAATAAATTCAGAAGGTGCTAATGAAATTGTTTTAGGCCTGCTACACTACTTAAAAAAAAAAACTGCTTTATGGTGTATTTATATTAAAATCATACCAGTGATCCACTTATCCTAAAGACAGCCTTATAAATTTAGGAGCAGGAATAATTAACTACAGTGAACTTACTCTTCACTAATCCTTCAAGACATACTACAAACATGTTCTAGATAAGGGACGATGGAGGAACAGATAAATCATGTGGACAACTGTTTCCCTAAGATCAGAGGCCACTGGACTATGTCAAGAAGGATTAGTTGGCAAGATAGTAGAAATATTTACATGGCATGATTTTCAAAGTGTGAAATCCTTTAGCACAAATATATAGAAAACTGCTACAGTCAAAAGTTACGTGGGATATGATTGGATTGATTATCTAAGCTAAAGTTATCATTTGTAGTCTGGTGACTTTTGCGTTAATGTGATTGTCTTTTTGGTACTCAAGTAAGACACTTCAGGGTTATAGTTCAATATCCTAAGCATTTGTTTATGTGGAAATATCATGAACCCCTTCCAGCTCCTCCTCCCACTTTTGAACACGGTAATTATCATGCTGCTCTAAAGATTGCAGCTCTCTCTCAGCCTAATTCCATTGCTTTTTATCTTTTGGAGATGGCCATCTAATCGTGTCACTCTGCAAAGCATTCAAGTTCATCTGTAGTTCCATTCAACTGTGCGCTCAGGGTATGAATACGCACCCAACCCAGTCCTGCCCACAGCAGGAATCCAACCCATGTCAAATAAATGACTTTTCCTTGGCCATTGATAAGATGCAAAAGAGATGCCACAGAATGTATCACTTTTCAAGGCTGTTGTAGGTAGTCTTGGTCTTAGTGCCCATAAAAAAGAACGAAGAAGAAATCCCAGTCTATCATGCAGTAAGATTAGCATCATGTGCTTTTTTAAAAAAATTCAGAATGACAAGGGGTGAATAAAGTATTGAACTTACCAGTTAATAGATCCTTATTTAGGTTTTCTCTGCTTATAGAAAGAATATACTGCAAGAAAAATAAAATAGGTACTTCTTGGTTCTGAGAGTACTAACAACTTTATATTATTCATTCAGCAACAGAAAATACTTATTCTTTAGCAAGCTTACTTTTATAAACATTTAGCTAAATAGACTTTTTCTAAAATAAATACCCAAGTACATACAATAGAAAGTTCAAATTCAAAGTTAGGATTTTTCAAAGTTTGATACCATAAAAACCAAACCTTATCCTGTAGGAAAAATATGATTTTCACTAAGATTGATTTGTCTGAACAACTAATCATGAACCTGTTTTAGAGATGTAAACTGAACAGTTCTGCAAACTTCTGAAAGGCTAAAAACTGAAATCAATATACTATTTCCCCAAGAGGGTACTGTGGAGCTTTCATCCCAGCGTGAAGGAGGAATCGTGTGTTTGTGCTTTCACGTGTGTGCACTGGTGTTGGTTATGACAGAGAGGGGCGTGGGTGGCCCGAGAAGGGCCGGCCCCCCATGAAATGTGTTGCTTGTTTCTGGCAATATCCAGCAGACAATATTCAGCACGGCTGACTAATCCACAGGAACAATGCGCAGTGCACAATACTTTTTGGTATCTGTGAAAATGTTTTAATTTATATCATTGTAAGAAGAAAAATAATACATACAATGGATATGTAAAGATGAGCCTGGGTTACATTATCTTTACAACAATATACTCATAAAATCTAACTTTTGATATTTATTATTATTTTATAGAAAAAGAATGCAGAAAGGTAAGAGTATCTACTTAGGGTCCATGAAGGTTATAATGTTGTCTTGAATTCAGGGTGAAGCTACTGCTTTAAACATTTAGAGTATATTAGTTCCCAAATTATGCCATATCACAACACTTAAAAAATATGTTAATTTATAAATTTTCATCTTATCCATATGTAGTCATTTAAAATTATTGGTGAAATCTATATTTGATACAGAAATAATGTGGTTACCCCACAGAGGCAATGACTGAGAAGGAGTTTTCTGTGCCTTTGATATAAATTAAAATGAACATGACCTCTTAATTCTGTCTCATAGTTCTGTGTCACTAAATTACAGCGTCTCAGTGGAAACCACACTTGTGGTATTCGAAGTATATTCGGAAACACTCAAATTGCAAAGATTCATTTAGGTGGGAAAATGTGTTTTACATGTCAGTTGTTAGACTGGGTTGACTTGTCAACCTATAATATAACCGTAGTATTGTATCTAAACAAAAGTTAACGCCTGCCCATCAAACCTCAATTTTCTAATATCAAATCTAATGGCTAGACTTTGGAAGACTAACTATGAATAGAAATAACAAGTCAGTAATAGTTCAGGTTCCACAGTGGAGAGAGTTCCACAATTTGGTCATTATGTTGGCCAAAATAGGTAGAATTTGTGGAACATATGGTAATTCCAGTTTTAATTTTTTTGAGGAGCCACCGCACTGTTTTCTAACTATTGAGCAATTTGATGTACCCACCAATAATGCCCAGTACTTTTTGATTTTTCTGCATATTCTCCAACATTTGCTTTTCTTTTTATTTTATAATAGTAACTATACTAATAGGTGTGAGGTGCCTCAACTACTTTTAGCATCCAGAATTGACAAAGACCTTGTTCCTATGAGTTGATGAGCTTTATCACTTGATAATTAAAATATGATCCTGGAGCAGCAACATGAATACTACTGAGTGTGTCTGGAATGCAGAACCTCAGCCTTCACCCTGCTCTGCAGTATCAAACTCTACATTTCAGTAAGTACCCAAGTGAGTCTGGAGAAAGCTGATCTACCTGTAATGGGAGCTCCACAAAGGGCCAGATACTTGAAACTTAAGTTGGCTCTGAACTTAAAAAAATGAAGTGTGGCTACATAAAGTAGGTTGGGGCTTTCCTTTGGTTGATAGATGCTTTGTACATTTACTGTCCCTTAAGAAAACAAACTTAGATGATGTAATTAGATAAAAATACGTATCTTACCCAACTCCGTACATTAATATGTGAAAGACAAGAAGGCAAACACAAAGCAGATGGTGAATTTTCTTTTGTAAACTCTGTCTTGTCATTTTGGAAATTATACAGTGCTCAAAGATTTTCTGACTCGTTCTATAAATTCTATTGCAGTTTAATTAAATATTGAGCAAGAGAGTCAGCTTTGAGAAAACCAGCATCATAAAATCCTCTAGATTGATTTTGCATATTATGTTGGACGATAAATACATGGTAATCTTTTCTATCTAACTGAGAGATGGGAAGAGACTGCCATCTAGTATAAGCTTAGCATAGAGGAATAAGCAAAGAGAAACAACTAAATCAGCCTGAATATTAGGGACTAAGCCTTCTTCCTATGAACTAACTTGTTAATTGGTAGAATTCCCCAAATACTAGATTGAAAGGTAATATTGGTAATAGAACTAAAGAAGAAAGGAAGGACCAAAAAGTAAGTAGTTAGTTCCAGACATTAGACACAGCTATTGCCAGACAAGTTCAGCTAAACCAACCTGTGACTTTGTCCCATAGGGAATTGCAGACTTTTTTCCTGAAAGAGAATGAATCATTCTTGCTCTCATGGGAATACCTTGGGATACAATCTAAAACAAAGCCAGAATACTGATTTTAGTTTGTGTACTATGACATCATGCAAATAAGATAGGTTTGATTTTAAAAATGTGATTTTCAAGAAGCTAAAATAGAATTTTAGTAAAGATTCTAGAAGCACAACATGATACAACTGAAGTATACTGTGTTCCTGCAAATTTTACCTTTTTTTTTTTAATCTTAGATTTTGGAATGGTCTTAAAGTTTACTTCATCTAAAGCAAGTAATATAGTTGAGGAAAGTGTGTCATTGTCAGAGAAGTTAAGTACTTTTTTTCACCATCACAGAAAGAAGTGATTGATGAAGAGTGAAGTCCAAGATTCCTGTAATGAATTGCAAAGTGTTTTCCTACACACATGTGCATGCAAATTGTGAAAATGCAAATGGCACTTAAGTTATCATTTAAAAAAACACACTGTTAGCAAAAGCACTATTGCATTTCAGTGGTACATGAGACAGTGGTACGTTCAGATGATTGAACCCACATGAATAAAATCCACTGCATACCCACAATATTTATCCAAATACTTGGGGACACATTGGTCTCAAAATTTAGAAGTCTTCAAATTTTAGATGGGTTGTGCATAGGTGGATATTACATCACACAGCAGATTCTGGGGACATTACCTGAGATATTTGTATAGCAAGACATCTTCACACTAAGTGAGATTTTTTTTTTTTAAAGAACATAAAAACCATCAGGTCAAATTTGCTTCTAAATGTGTGATGAAAAAGCTTTTTGTTTCAAAGTGCTCTAGAGTACAAAATTATGGATTAAAGATTATAGGGTTATGCCACACAGGCAACAGAATGGAATTGCTGCCTCCTCTCATCCCGGATGCCAGCTTGAGCCCAGAATCAGCGCGATCTTCCCGTGGAATTACAGCACCTCCACACCCCATGTCATTTACAATGTTCTGATCCCCCAAGAGTTTCAAGGACTGGATTTGGAAGTTTAAGAAATCTTTTCAGAGTAAGTTTTGATGCAGAGACACTTGGCATTTATTAGTGTTTCAAACCAGGATAAAATCAAAGCGATGCCATTGTTGGAAAATGACAAATATCGTCTTCTCGAAAGAAAATGCATTAACAACGTACCTGATCTTCCAGACCAATGGCTTTCAAGGCCTGTCGTCCTCTATGAGAAAGGGCCAGGTTAATGCTTCTTCCACGTGCAAATTTAGCCACCCGGATATCTAAGGCATTGGAAGTACACTCCTTGTTACACACACTTCCTTATGCCCTATGGCAGGATGAGCATACTGGTACAATCAAGACCAAATTAGCTTTTTGAAAGAAAATGCAAGCAGAACTAAACTAGTATTAAATTAGATGGAGATGGTAGAGGCTTTCAAAAAGAAATCCAATCATTCCTCTTTCAAAAAATGTAGAAATCTACAAAAAGAGATTAAAAACATCAGAATACCAGCTCACAATTTACGATACTGTAAATTGTAAATCTTACCTTCCCTAGATTCATAAACATCAACTTGGAAATTCCTCTTTGCAAGGAAGCATGCATTTAATGATCCAACCTAGAAATCAAAGCAGTTATTTCATATTTTCATGAACAAATATAGGGAATCTTTACTGGCAAAATGCAATGCTGTTTGTGCCTGGACCATATTTTCCTTGGTGGTCACATTGACTTATCAGAAACAACTGGAAAACACCATTTGCAAAAGCAATGGCATCAATTCAAGATGAAATGTACATTTAGAGATAGTTTGGGCCTTTTTATTGCTGTTTTATTTTCCTAGTGAGCTATAACTTTTACCCAGAAATATCATATAGTATGTGTATAGTTCACAGAATAACAGAAACCAGTCACCTGTATGATGGTGCACAGCACTCTGGTTAGAAAGCAGAACATTCTGCCTGCCATAATTCCCTACTCACTCCCCAGTTATGATCCCCAACCTTAGAGGAAACTTTTTTTAAAGATTTATGTACTTATACATACAAAATTGGGGTAAGGCCGAAGGTGCATGGGCAGTGAGAGGATTCACCAGACACAAGAAGTGGAGAGCACAGATGTACTGAAACACTGCTGAGGGGAGCAGTGGGTGGGTCAGTGGTCTGCCATGCCACATGGGTCACCGCCCTGGTGGGGGATCGAACTCGTGCTGCAGTGGCTGAGGTAGCTTCACAGCGCTGTGCTGTGCTGTGCTTGAACTGGTTGCGCCACCAGGGAGGGCCCCCATTCAGAACAACTTCTGCAGTCACAAAGAAATCCATTCATTTCTGTTTGTAGAACTTGCCAAATAGAGGGTGTGGAGATGACTAAAAAAATCTTAAAATTAAAACTGATAAAGGGAATATCCAAACTGGAGTGAGGAGCCATGATGGCCTAGAACACCTGATACTTGGAGTTACAGCTGCTTATGTGACCCTCAGAAGGCCAGCACCCTGGCGCCCATAACGGGGGGTTTCAAAAGATGGCGCCAAGTCTTTCCCCAAAACAGATACACTCAGATCTCAGCTACAAAGAAAACAAGTGGTCACTGCCCTCGCAGGCAGCTACCCCTCCATTTTGTAAAAAAAAAAAAATTATTAATTTACCTATCAGAGACAGCTCTGCCTACTTATGTTTCATGATTCCCCCCACATCGGGGCACTTCCATAGTTTTATTCCAGTGGTATCTGCTGCATCTGCAACCTTCCCTAAAGGCCCCCCAATAAAACCTTGTCTCAGCAGCAGATGAAGCTCTAGCTCATGGTTGAATTATAATTCAACAAAGGGCAGTAATAAAAATGGGCTCGATTCAAAAACTTGAAAGCTGAGTATAGAGCAAGGTGGGTGGGGGAGGGGTGAGAACAGGGAGGGAGGGGGCGCAAAGGGCTGTGGTGACGTGTGCCTGCGTGGGGGGACAGCTATGTGACCACACCCGAGGGGAGAAATCCTACACTGTCAAAAAATTAACAAGGATATAAGAAAAAGGTACTTTGTTTAAAACTTCATTTAAAAATTGTCATATTGAAGAAAGAGTGGCTTTTTGAATATTCATAATCATAAGGGTTAATAATTAAGCTCTTCACATGAGTTATCTCAATATTTGAATATATAAAAAAGTATGCTCTAGAGCCCTTTTATTTGTATGTGTAAATATTAATATATGTATCTCTCCACCCACGATTGTAAGATTGAAGGTTGTTTATTTTTGGGAAAGTGAAAATTCTAGGTAACATTTGATTTCTATTTTTATAAAGACTACTTTGAGAGAGAGCTCTGTGAATAAGGAAGTACTATGTCAAAAGGAAACAGTAGAATTTTAGAGTTCAAAGACATAATGACCTAGCTGTAGACAAGATGAAAAAGCTAAGAGCCAGAGAGAATAAGGTTTCCTGAGTTTCCAATCTATTGCACAATTTCCTATGCTCTGTCTTCTCACTGATTTATGCTGTTTCTTTCCGAGTAAGCCGAGTGAAGAGAGACCGGTGATGTGACAAGATCCTGAGAAGACAGGGCAGAAACACCACCTAGGACCAATTTGTCATCTCAACCAGGCTGCGCTTGTACAGCCATGACAGAATCTAATATCTTTTAACCGTGAGATGCAAACTCGGACAATCAAGGTCAAATTGTTTCAAAGGCAATTTCATCAGCAGAAACCACTCATTTGACTTGAATTCCTGGAGGCAGGACACGGTTTTTGAAAAGAAGTCTTAAAATGTACAAGTCTCCTTACCCTGATGTTTTTGAAAGTCTTTAGTCTCTAAACACCATGGAGAATTTTGCTGGGTCGAGCCTAGGAAGACTGGCTCACACAATATCCTGTAGTGAAGTTGTTTGCCAGCAGGAGAGACAGAAGAAATGCTCACTACATCTTTAGCTACGTCTGGGTTGCATAATAGTACCTTTAGCTAAGACTCCTAGTTTCAGGGGAAAATGTAAAAAGAGAGCTCAGATAACTGTGTCACAGAGGGCTCCTTGCCTCTGGTCATTTTCCCATGCGATGTGACCAGCAGAAGACACATTTCTGAGACCCTGTATGTGGTCATGTCCAGGACTGCAGGTCCTTTTGACTTCTCTGGCTTGTCACTGGAGAGCGAAAGAGGGCTGTATCACACTCACTCAATTCCAGGGAGCTCGTGTGGCATTTTCCCCTAAACTGACTTGTTAAAATTAGGAAGTCACACTTACATGACTCCTTCCAGTCTGAAATGCAGAGATAGCTTTTCAAATCTATTTCCAAGCTAGTGCTTAACTAGGACCACACTGCTATTGAAACCACTCTAATGAAAAACATGTCTTTGTTTCGACTTCTCATGATTTCTAAGACTCCGGACCTTGTTCTGAAAGCATACTCATGCACACAAAATCATTTTATTTGACAGGAAAAGCCTTGTGATGAAGGCAAATGAAGCCCTGTGGGCATTTGCAGCAAAGAAATGTTCATGAGAAGTTGCTCCGCCAGTTCCCAGGGGGAAATCCCGCAGAAAGAAGGAAGAGTTGGGTGAAAGAGTTTCATGAAGAACAGTCTTTAAGTCAATCCTAGAGTTTCCAAAATATTCAGATTAACGTTAAAAAAAACAACTATTTTAATATCTTTCACACTTTCCAATAGTTAAAATTTCACTAATGTAGGATTATGGTTTATAGTTTCCTTCATTTTTTAGTATCCCAGTAAGCGTTTATCCATTAATTTATCGATTTCTTCTGACCTCTTTATGTTGAGATGAACAGAACAGAAACTGTCTTTATCACAGGATTTGCTGATCACCAAATTAGAGCAAGGACGACTTCACTGGGCAGGCCGACCACTGCCAGCAAAAGGTGAGAGCGGTTCTTGGTGTTCTTTGGCCTACTTGAAGTTTCTCAATTTTTTTTTTAAAGATTTACTTATTTATTCATACAGAACTGGGGTGCAGGCCAGAGATGCGGAGGGTGAGAGGCTTCCCCAGAGACAGAGCGGGGAGCAGAACAGGCAGATCAACGAAGCACACTGCTGAGGAGAGCAGCGGGCGGGTCAGGAGAGGTCTGCCGCGCCATGTGGTCACCTCCGGGGCAGGCGGGGATCGAACTCATGCGGAAGTGGCTTAAGCTTCTCAGTGCTGTGCTGTAACCCGCTGTGCCACCAGGGAGGGCCATTGAAGTTTCTCAATTTTGTTTCAAGATTTTCCTAGGGGCCAGGGAGCTCCTTTAACATGTTACACAGTATGAAGTATTTGGATTTCATTCTAAAGGGGAGAAGAGAACGGGAAGGTGATGAACACACAGGGAGAAAGACAAAGAAGTAACTTTGTCCTCTCTGTATTTAGCTTGTCTTTTTTTTAGAATTTATGTGTGTGTGTGTGTGTACACTTCTGTCCTGGGGTACAGGACAGAAGTTGGGGGGTGAGAGGATTCCCCAGAGACAGAGTGGGAAGTAAAACAGGCAGATGGACTAAAACACACTGCTGAGGGGAGCAGCAGGTGAGACAGGAGAGGTCTGCTGTGCCACGTGGGTCACTCCCTGGCAGGGATCGAAGCTAGTGGCTGCAGACAGGCTTATGGTGTTCAGACTTAACCCCTTCCCCACCAAGGAGGCCCCTATATTTGGATTCTATTATTCTTGAATTGCTTTATTGCATCAGTATTTTTCTTAATGTCCCCAATGTGCAAACTGTTATCCATTATGAAATCTCCTTCACCTTCATATCCTTAGGAAGAGACTTTTCATGTCTCTCCTTCATTTATTCACCAACTACTTAATAAATAACAGAAAGTAATGTTAGAAATGGGTCTCGTGCCTGGATCGCATCGGTCAATAATGGTTCATACTAATTTGAATAGGCATTTAATAAATAGGTTAAAATGAATAATTGATGGATAATAAAGTACAATTTCAGATGCTGCTAGATAACATGAAAACATCAAACAGGGAAAAGATGAGGCCACACGGTAGAGACAGACTCAGTTTAGAGCCTTTGGCAGAGTTTGGATTTTATTTTATTTGTATCGGTGAACACTGGAAGGTTAAGCAAAGAGTGGTAATTATATTTATGCTTCAAAAGGCTGACTCTGCTACTATGCAAAGAAGGGATTATATGTGGATAGGAAGAAGCTAGGAAGCCACTTAGAAGACGGTTACAGGAATCAGGAAGAGGGATAACTGTGGTTTGGCGGAGAACTGTAGCCAGAATAGAAATGTATTTTGAATATAGTATTTTGATTTCTAAAAAAGGACATCAAACAATATTTCTTCACACAGATCTGACCAATACGTGGAAAAAATTCTTTTGCAGAGGAATTTTAATTGTGTCTTTATACACATATATTAATCCATGCCTCTTTGTGCCAGGTAATTAAGTGGTTCCATGCTATAAAGTTCAAACATTCAAGCAGACATTCTTGACGACACCCACATTTTTATGCTTGCCAAGACACATAATGAAATGACGTCTTTGCTATCACCCTTGAATTTCCTTTTTATTTTTATAGCATTCTTCATTTTGGTACAATGTAAGCTTTCTCATCTCGGTTGCAACCCTCATGAGCTTCCCACCACCACTTCAGCCATGTGCCATCACCATATCCATCTACTCTCTCAACCCTGTTTTGATCCTATTCCCCTCTCGCCCCTCCACCCCAGTGGCTCTGGTTTATAGCTGTTTACTTTAGTTTTTACTTTCTGACAATTACTTTTTTTCTTCTGATTCCTTAGTCTTTTTCTTTTTCTTCCTGGCTTATTTCACCAAGCACGATCCCTTCCAGCTCCATCCGTGTTGCCACAAGTATCGTGAGTTTATCTTTTTTGATTTTTGAGTAATAATCCATTGAAACAGTATCGAAGAAAATATTGGTGAATTACTGCATGACTTACACCTCAGTAACATCTTTAAAGATACACCACCCAAAGCAAAGATAGTGAAGGAATGGATAAACATCTGAGACTACATCAAGTTAAAGAGTGTCTACACAGCAAAAGAGACATTAACCAAAACAAAAAGACACCCCTCTGATGGGTCAAAAACTTTTGCACACAATAGAGGGTAAACAGCTCATCCCAAAGATCTACAAAGAGCTGACTAAACTCAACAAAAATAAAGTGAACAACCCCATCAAAAACTGGGCAGAAGAGCTAAAAAGGCACTTCTCCAAAGAGGAAATGCAGATGGCCAACAAGCATATGAAAAAAATGTTCAGCATCACTAATAAGGGAAATGCAAATCACCTCCTTGGATTTTAAGAGACATTTTAAAATGCATCATCATCGTCACCCTAGGCCAATCTTGGGACAAACGCAACAGTTCCAGCTGTTTATCTTGTCTCCTTAAAGTAGGCTCAGTCTTGCCTTCCCTGGTGGCACAGTGGGTTAAAGCACAGCACTAAGTAGCTAAAGTCACTTCTGCACGAGTTTGATCCCTGCCCCAGAAGTGACCGCAGGGCGCGGCAGACCTCTCCTGACCAGCCCGCTGCTCCCCTCAGCAGTGGACTTCGTCGATCTGCCTGTTCTGCTCCCCGCTCTGTCTCTGGTGAAGCCTCTCACCGCCCCTGGGCCTCTGGCCTGTACCCCAGTTCTGTATGCACAAATAAATAACTCTTAAAAAAAAAAGTCTCAATCCTCAATGTGATAAATTGAGGAATCTTTTAAAATCAAATTTATTTTTCTGCTTTAAATTTTTAGTGTACTTGGAATAAAAAAACAGCCTTCTTTTCTCCCCTCTAAGATCCAATGGACAGAGCCAGGTCATCGTTGCCTCAGGTTTTCTTCTGGCAATTCCCTCTACTTGAAAACTCTTCTTGCGACCACTCACATGGTTGTCCCTCTGATTCCTCAGCTTGCTGCTCATCCATGCCTATGTGAGGCAATCCCCAACCACATTCTGTGCAGATCCTTTTACAACACTTTCCATGACGTAACCTTTTTTTTTTTTATTATGGTTAGTGGTTATTTCTACTGAAATTGTGGTTTTTTATTTTTTTGCTCCCTGGCCTTTCCCTTCTCTGAATGTTCACCCATGTAGCTTTAGTACCCCAGGCCAACACAGCGGACACTATGCTGGATACATAAATGCTCATTTTATACAAATTTTTTTTTAAAGATTTATTTGTTTGTGCATACAGAACTGGGGTATAGGCCAGAGGTGCAGGGGCAGTGAGAGGGTTCACCAGAGACAGAGCGGGGAGCAGAACAGGCAGATCAACGAAGCACACTGCTGAGGAGAGCAGCGGGCGGGTCAGGAGAGGTCTGCGGCGCCCTGTGGTCACCTCCGGGGCAGGCGGGGATCAAACTCATGCGGAAGTGGCTTTAGATTCTCAGTGCTGTGCTTTAACCTGCTGCGCCACCAGGAAGGGCCTCATTTTATACAAATTTTGATAGGAAAGACTTGAACCAAAGCCCAAAGTGAAGAAAATACAGTATATGTCTCAGGACTGATTGACATGGCCTGTGATTGTCTTCCTCAGCACATAGAACTACAAAAATGGTCATAGGACTTTGGGGGAAAGACAATAAGGAAGGCAGAACAACATAAAAATCAACATATTGATTACAAATACATGTATGATCTAAAATATGCTCGACTATATACAGCTTAGACTAGTGTCTGGCACATATTAGCCCTTGAATAAATTTTTGTGGAGCAGATGAACGAATGAATACATATGAGTTAAAATCTTCCAGGTAATTAGACCAAAAGTAGAAAAAAAAAGTTTAACTTTATCTAGTGAGAACAGCTTTATCCCCAAATAAGAGTTTTGTTGAAAGGGGAAAAATTCAAGTTCCCATGAGGCAAACTCACACCACTGTCAACAGACACAGCTTGGTGACAATGACAATGTACCCGACAGACCCCCTCCAACATCCCCACAGTCACCTCACCCCCCCACTTGGCTGCTTGTGCTCCATGGGGCAAGCCAAACAGATTGTTTCTATTTGAACCCAATTATTCAAATAAAACATATCCAATGGATATTTACACATTTGCTTCACGGCTCCTTTATTCTTATTAGACCTTAATGCTTATGAACCAAAAGTAGTTATTACCCAAAATGGATCTAAATTTTTCATTAAACTGAATATTCAGATTAATGTCAGCTTTTAAAACACAGCTAATTTGGGAATAAATCAAATTCAACTTGTTTTGTTTTTGAAGACATGCGGAATCGTATTTAACAAAAATAAGGTATCTTTCCTGGAGAAGACCAAATCAAAACTAATGCCACATATTAAATTGGTATATTTAAACAGCAGAAAAGATTTCATAAGAAAATAAACAACCTAAGTAAGTGATTAATAATTACCATTAAAATAATAAAAATGAATATAAGATCACTATTATATCAGTAGATCCAAACTGATTCTTACCAAGCCACCACCAATGACAGCTATTTTTTTCCTTTGAATGTCAGATGAATCCATGACCACAGAAGTGCTTTTCAGATTGTTGTAGCTCCTGTCAGTGAGAACACTGTCTCCTATGTGCAGATCGCTGTCAGGTTTTATACTGCCCAAACTTGAGGTTGTGAGCCAGCATCAGTGTTTGAGTAGGGTTAATAGAGAATAGCATTTAACTCATTTGTAACCCGAAGTACAATCAGTTCAGGCTTAAGTAAAAGGGGAATTCACCTCAGTAACCAAAATTTGAAAAGTCCATGGTTCAGACACAGAATTAATCTTAAGGTACAGTCTTATGACTTTTCTTTCTTTCTTTTTTTTTTTTTTCCTACAGCTTCTGTGCTTAGTTTCATTTTCATTCATGATTAACCACCGATGAAATTTCCCTCTTCTGAAGTCCCAAAGCATCTCATACTTCTCTTAGAGAGCAAAACGGTGTGGCTACACCAGTGATCTCAGAACCCAACTTAAAAATAACTACCAAGAGAGGTAGTTTAAATTACATTTCTTTTAAATTCATCCCTGACATAGATTTTCTATCTAACCTAGTGCTTCCTCCTTGTCTTCTCTCTCATCATCTCAAAATGTATATTCCTTATTTTTGTGCCTATTTGGAACTTAATTGTTTTTCTGGAGTGTGATGTGGTGTAAAGGAAGAATGTAAAAGATGGCCCTTTTGCACTTCTCAGAGAGGACCAGAATTCAGATCTTTTTTCCCCTGGCTGGAAACTAGAGTTAAAAGTCATTCAATAGTGACCCCGTGTGGATACGTGTGGTCACTACACTTCCAGGAGCCCAGATTTCTTTCTTTTTTTTTTTTTTTCCAAAAGATTGTCTCCCAGTTTTCACTAGTGTTACTAAGTGAATTGAAGCTCTCCTTCCCGCTCCTTGCCATAGGTCCACTGTTTATAGATGTGCAGTTCTGGTTCCAGTTTCTGTTCTATTTGATTCTATCGAGTCTGCACTTGCCTTTACCAGCACCAATTTCGCAGCTGTATTACTTTAACATTAACAGAAGCTTTGATGTTTCAACTTGAATAATTCCGCCGTCTTGTCTTTGATAGTTTTCCTGGCAATTATTAGTGTTTTGCATATCCTTCTAAGTTTTAGAGTCAGTTGTGAATTGTATACACACACACCCAACTTTTACTGTTATTGTTTGTTTTGAAGTAGAAATCTCACTGGGAAGAAAAACATTTAGAATATTGAGTTTCCCTATCCACCAATGTGGTTTCTTTCTTTACTTGCTTAGGTCTTTTCCAATTTCTAACAAAGTTTCATAGTTTCTCCTGTAGAATATTTTTCTCTCTTAGACTTCTTTTGTGTCAAATGACAAAACTAAAATAATTTAGTTGGGTTTTCTTTACCAATTCTAGACTATTCTATCATTCCATTCCAAAAATTGTTTAGCTTCCTCATCTCTTACTTTTTCATCTATATCTTCATTTGCATATGTGTGCTTCATTATGAATAGTTTATTTTATTCAAAATAAAACAACCCAACATGTGCCTCACATGTTGTGAACCCTCTATCCAAGGGCTTTTGGACAAGAGTGAGTTTAATAAAATGTCAGAGGACACACAGAAACAGAGCATGTTTGCTTGAAGATTTCCTTGTAAGGCTACCAGGTTCTATTTTCTAGATCAGGTGAGTTAGTTAAAGATGAATTAGTACAAGGCAATTGGTCTATATTAGGTTTCCTTGACAATGAGGCTTTTCCATAAATGCAGGTTGACTTAGATTCGTGATGTGGACTGTGGTATTTTGTGGGTTCCATAAACAAATGAACTATTGCAAGGTAATCAATATTTTTATTCTATTGGAGATGATAGCTTGAATTTCATTTTCTGCTGTTAATAATTTGCAGAACTATGATTAATTTTTGTTTGCTGAGTTTGTCTCTGGTAATATTACAAAATTCTTATTACTTGTTTGTAGTTTCTTTTGACTTTTCCGCCACTATTGTAATGTAATGATAGTTATTTTATCCCAAATAGGCAGAATCTCCTAGTTAAATTATGAGTATGGATTCTCAGAAAAAACGTCATTGTGGTTATAAAATGTACTTTATGGATTTTTAGACATTTGACATTATTTTACATTTTATTTTATGGACAGCAAAAGGTAAATTTGTGTAAATATTTTGCATGTGCCCAGAAAAAACTGCATTCTGCAGTTATTTTGACTAGTAGGTCAAATCTATTAATTATGTGTTCAAAATTTTGAGTTCTCTTTGATATTTGGTTTGCATGTTTTGTTAATTACTGAAAGAAATGTATTTTTAAAAAATCTTCACACTATGACTGGGCTTGTCCTTTTCCTAAGTTTCCCTCATAAGGAAAATCTGCATTTAAAATTGCTCTATATTACTACTGAAACAAAGATTTTTACCATTATGATGCAACTTTTTAAAGATTTAATTATTTGTGCATACAGAACTGAGGTACAGGCCAGAGGTGCAGGGGCTGTGAGAGGCTTCACCAGAGGCAGAGTGGGGAGCAGAACAGGCCGATTGATGAAGTCCACTGCTGAGGGGAGCAGCGGGCGGTCAGGAGAGGTCTGCTGTGCCCTGTGGGTCACCTCCGGGGCAGGCGGGAATCGAACTCATGCGGAAGCGGCTTTAGATTCTCAGTGCTGTGCTTTTAACCGCCACACTACCAGGGAGGGCCCAGATGATGCAACCTTTTATCTTGTTTGACTTCAATATTAATTTTCTGTATTTGGTTAAATTTACATATTATTGCATTTCCTTTCAGTTAGAACTATGTGTCTTAAATGTGGGTCTTTGTTAAGCTTTCTGTTGACTTAGGTCTTTGGTTTTCTAGTTTCACTATGAATAGCTCTATAAAGATTTATATATCCTCGTAGGGAATCATTAGGTTTCTTAAACATATGGGTTGAGTTTTCTTTACCAGTTCTAGAATATTCTAGCATTCCCTTTCCATATCTTAGCTTCCATATCTCTTACTTTTTCATCCATATCTTCCTTTTCACGTGCGTACTTCATTGTGAATAGTTTATTTAGTATTGCTCATTTGCAGCTACCATCTGCTGTGTCTAGCCATTGACAAACCTGTCCAATGATGCCTTGCTTTTGGCTTTTGCAGTGTTTCTTTCTGGAATTTAATTTTCTGTCTTACTTTCCAAAATTTTCAAGCTTGTCTTAATGAGCATGACTGATTGCTTTGTGGTTGGTATTGATAATTCCCATTGTGGATTTTTAAATAACAGCTTCATTGGGGTATAATGGACATCCATAAAATTCGCCCACTAAAGTATCTACTGCAATGGGTTTTAGCATGTTTGCAGAGCTGTACCATAATTTCCACATCAATTTTTCAGCATTTTTATCTCCCCAAAAGAAAAGCTCAGGGCCATTAGTGTTTGCTCCCAATTCTTCCCACTCCATCCTCCATCCTCTGGCAACTACTGATCTACTTTCCGTCACTAGATCTGCTTATTCTAGACAGGTCACGTAACAGAATCATAAGGTTCCTTTTCTGTCTGACTACTTTCACTCACACAAAGCTTTTCAGTTTCATCCCATGATGCAGCTTGTGTCAGTACTTCTTTTTCAGTGAGTGAATACTACTCTATTGCACAGGTACAACACACCTAGCCGTTCATCTCTGGGGGGTTGTCTTATAGCAATCAATCTACTATGAACACTTGTTACAACTTTTTGCGTGGACATGTCTTCATCTCTATATATACTTAAGAGCAGAATTACCTGGACATGTGGGATCCATTTTTTCTTCTTTCTATTGAGGTAACATCAATTTATGACACTGTATAGGTGTTAGGTGTGTAGTTTCTCACCTCAGTAGCTGCAATTCATATCACACCCACCACCAAATGTGCAATCACCAACCACCTGTAACTTTTTCCCTTCCTCCTCCTTCCCTTGGTAACCACCATGTTGTCTTTTTCAGAAAACATGACCTGTTTATTTTTTAAAAGAGTTATTTTTATTCATTTATGCATATAGGAACTGGGGCCTGAGGGGTGAGAAGATTCACCAGAGACAGAGTGGGGAGCAGAACAGGCCGAATGATGAAGGACACTGCTGAGGGGAGCAGCGGGCGGGCCAGGAGAGGTCTGCCGTGCCATGTGGGTCGGCTCCCTGGCTGGGGATTGAACTCACGCCACTGTGGCTGCCAATAATTTGATAGTGCTGAGATTTTAACCCCGGTGCCACCAGGGAGGTCTCTGATCTACTCCTCTTGAAAGTTATTAATCAGCAAGACAAACTTTCAGAAATACTCATGTTGGCAGTTTGGGCACAGATGAAATAGCTTGATGTTTACATAGAATTGTCCGCTTAATAGTTGGAAATATCCTTTTTGGTCTACTTGAACAGACACATCTGATTGTAATTATATGAGAAACACTGCTTTAATTATTTCAAAAGATGTCTTTTTAAACTTGAACTCTTAGGTAAAACATACTGTGACCCATCTCAGAAAGGATCTAGTTACAACCATGTTTTACCATGTTCAAGTTCACTATGAAGATGTTTTATATGTTTCTAGATTATTTATGAAGTGGGCCAAGTTACTTCCCAGATAGGGGCCAGAGAAACCTGTATCTGGCAAACGGACAAGACAAAGATGATTAGTAATGAATCCAGTCATTCTAGTAGTTTGCAGGCAACATGCTAAGAGACTGATAGATAATTATTCTTATTACTTTGGCAGTAAGAGCCAACTATTTCTCAGTTCATTCAGGAGAAAAGAGTAAGTGACGTTGTGCTATTATTTGCCAGGAATTTTCCTAGTCCCTCTGAACATATTAGCTGACAGTTTCTCCAATTGTTAGGTTTCATCTTATCTTGCTTTTTTTTTTTTTTTTTTGTGGTCTATGTGAAAATATTTCTTCTTAGCTGGACTACCGTTTTGACCACAGTTACTTATCCTTCAATTCCTCCTGAAATTAAAGTACAAAGAATTGTCTTGAAGGACTTCAGGAAAAGAAAGACCCCCACACCTTTCTTCAGAGTATTTTCCTGAGTGAGAGACACAAT